ATAGCGAGAAAGGGGTTAGTGGAGAGAATGTGGGATGGAGTTCTCCAAATCGAAACCATTTTTACACAGAGAGATTCGCCAAGAAAAGGGTACCAAACATATATCTTGAGGCAAAGAAACATATATTTGAGATGCTGGAAAGTGGTGAGGAAAAGGAAGGGTCATCAATGAGTGGGAATTTGTCCAAATCTCTAGGGAAGATTCTCTCTCTTCCTTCCGATTATTACATTTCTTCAAGAAGCAGTTCTGGCAACAGTTTTAGCAGCGAAGATCAAATCTCTTCTTCACAGAGGAGAGTGGAAGCAGATGTCCCTTCACTTGGACAAGCGGCTGTCGAAGGTACTAACACTTTCGGTACATTGATTATCATGTAATTTCTACTATCGGTCCATCAGGTCAACAACTTTCATCTGATTTCTCCTTTGGTCCTTTAGCCGAACAAGTTACTGGAAGGACCAAAAGTGAAGAAATCCATAGTCGCCAAAAAAATTAAAAAATGAAGGTCTCTACAGGACCAAAGATGAAATTTTTCTGTTGAAAACTGTCTGTTTTAACTTTTGATGAATTATTCATTCTTTATGTTAATTTCTGAAGTACTCAATGGATCACAGATAGTGAAGAACAGTCTCAGAGTAGATGCCACGAGAATGAAAGAGTATCAAATGCTTCCCGTGATTTATCTAGCTGTTCAATTACTGTAAATACGGACAATGCTTATGTTACAGTGTCATTCTTTGATGAGAGCTCTGAACTGACATCTGAATGTTTAAAAACAGTGAGTTGCCGTTTTTTCTTCCCGTTGAGCTCATATTGTTAGTTTATACATAGTACTCTATCCTTCCCGCTATTTTTGGGACATGAGAGACCAGTAGAGAAATTAAGAGAAGTAAGATTTTGTGGTTGAACTCGAGGTTAAAAAGTAAGGTAAAGTAAGAATGATTGTGAACCACGCAAATATGACCAAATATGGTATGGGGGAAAATAGTGGGATGGACAAAAGGTAAAAAGGACAAAAACAGTGGGACAGAGGGAGTATATTCTATGAAAAAAATCTTTGCCGCTTTTATCCTTTCGACAAACTCTCTATCCTGTCAATTTCTTATTGATTTTCACCGGATAAGGGGTGGGAAAGGACCCAAAGAGGCAAGAAGTCCGTAGTCATGCACAAAAGTGGTAAAAAATAGGGAAGATTTCTCATATTACGTCACCACACACAATTAGTTCCCTTCTATTCTGTTTTTTGGACCTCCATTGTTTTATCACTTTCAGGAATCCAAAGGCACAGAACAAAATTTGTCTTCTCCTCCAGATTCCTCTGCAAACTCATTTGAAACTTGTAAAGCTGGTCCTGATTGTGTGGTGGACAAAACAGAGCGGCCTAGTCCCATATCTGTTCTTGATCCATTATGTATGGAAGATGATATCAGTCCAGCAAGCACTTCATGTCGATCAGGTTTGTCGATTCTAGAGTTTGTTCTTAACTCAACCTTTTGTTTGTTGGGCTCGTTTCTTTTTACACCAAGCTCTGGTGTAAAAAGATAGAACTTGGAAATAATAATATTTTTGGTTAGGAGAAAGGTAAAAGTGAAAGGATAGAGAAAATTCATGTGGGACCCACCCACCAACCAAAAAACACTTCAAAATTAGAGAGAAAACTTGGGGAAAATCATAATTTTTTCTTGCAAATTTCCTCCACCTTAAGATATTTTCATGAATAGAGTAAGGATATATTCATTTATACAAGAAAATCCTTCTTATCTTTTTCTCCTATATCTTTCCTGATTCTTTCAATCATGACACACTATGGCCTTGTTTGGGGACACACCGTTTTCAAATAGCCTTTTCAAAATGCTATGGCTAACTAAAACTAAATGTTGTCATTAGATAGTCTTTTTCAAAATACTAAAGTCAAACGGTGAAACTTTTGCCAAATGGGCACTATAATTTCACTCATTTTCTCTCGTTACCCAAACAACACACCGTATCATAATATGTAGCAGTTTTTTTCAATGTCATGATCTAGCTTTAAATGAGTTATCCTTGGATTTACAGTTGAACCTGACATCCAACCACGGAAGATCCAATTTGAGGAGGAATCAGCAGCAGCAGAAGCAGCTCATTCAACTCCTAATCAACAGGCGCTAAGGACTTGTTTGGAAAGCGAGGAAACTGCGTTTGAATATGTAGAGGCTGTGCTGTTAGGTTCAGACCTGAACTGGGACGAATACCTCTCGCGGTGGCTTTTCTCAGACCAGATTCTAGACCTGTCATTGTTTGATGAAGTAGAGCTGTTCTCCAACCGTTCTTGCCACGACCAAAAACTCCTTTTTGATTGCACCAATGAGGTCCTCAAGGAGGTGATCGACTTCCATTTCCCGATTGTCAAACTGAACATCAGGCCCATCCCCAAGGGGATGGACCTTATCCACCGGGTTTGGGCTGGGGTCGAGTGGCATCTTCTAAAGCATTCCCTGAGCCGTTCTCTGGACCAGTTAATCAAGAAACAGATGGAGAAGCCCGGGGCATGGCTGGATCTCCATTCTGAAATTGGAATTGTTGGTTTTGTGATAGAATCAGCTGTTCTTGAAGAACTGTTAGATGAAATTTTTTATGAGTTGATTTAGTTTTTTTTTCTTAAATTTTTTTTCCACTTGTTGAAAGGTTTCTCTTCAATGTAAATTCTTGTGTGCTTCATCTCTTGGTGCCAATGTGTAATACTTTTTTTGTTGTTGGGGCAAGTAGTGTTCATGTGGTTGGGGTTTTTGGGTTCAGTATTTTTTTCTTTTTTAATTTGACTGTTTTTACTTGTGTGATTACATAGTTGTTGTAAGTTGTAACTGAAGAAGACAGAAATGACAATAATCTTGAACTTATTTGCTTGAGCTTGCATTGTCTTAGATCAAGTAAAGTTTTTTTTTTTGAGTTCTTTGACACTAATGATCGATGCCATAATATGACATGAGTCGTGCTAGGGTAATCCTAACATTTTGGAATTATCATGATTTTATATTTGTATAGATATGCACAAATAATAATTGTCGGTGAATCGTAAATGAATTTGTTTGTAAACTTAATTTTGGATTTGGATATCAGATTTCACTCATATTATATGTTTTAGAATTTATACATGAATGGATTTGGGCCTAATTCATCTAATATATAACAAAATCAAGTTATAAATTCACACATTCTTGTAATTTAAGTTTGACCTTAAATTTTAGAATTGAAATTCAAATATGTATATAAATCCATAGTTTGTAAACACTATCCTATTGAATTTGAAAATTTAACAACTAGTTTTAGATATTTGAAAATAAGACTAGATAATTAGATCCACACCAAAATAATAGAATATTGTCAATAATGATCTTTTATTTCTACTGGGAATCTTTGAGTGCCAAAGGGCACCTTTAGTCCAATGGGATGAAGTGTGCATGGGAAAGAAATATGAAGGACTGGGTATCAAAAATATTGGAAACAAAAATAAAGCTGCAGTTATGAAGTTGAACTGGGATGTAACAGGTAAATGAATTCATAATAAGTACATTAAAGAATCTACATGGTGGGATTATATCCCTAAACTCCATTCTTGTGCCTACTGGAAAGAGATGATCAAAGTAAGGAAACAATTTAGGGATACGCCAAAGAAGGAAGTATATGAGATCAAAGATGGGTATGAGTGGCTATAAGGAAAAAAAGTACCTAAATGGAAGGAATTGGTATGAAGCATATGGTTATCCCCTAAGATCCAGGTAGTGTTTCGGTTAATTATGAGAGGTAGACTCTGAATGAAAGATAGACTGCTAAAATATATCAAGGTTGATCTTATTTGTTGCCTTTGTAAACAAGATAATGAGACTACTGCTCATTTGTTTTGGAAATGCGCATATGCTAAGAAAGTATTTCACAGGGTGTATGAACATTACCAAATGCACATCGATTTTACTGAGTTTGTAGAGGTGGGAGTTGAGATCATGAAGATGACAAATAAGAAACTTAAAACTATTACTTAAGCTATATAGGGTGCTGGTTGTTATGAATTATGGAGGGCAAGGAATGGCAACATCAACCACAAGGATATTAAAGAAGATGATATTATTAGATCTATCTTATTTTATTTAAAATGTTTTTTTATAGTATAGAAGAATGAAGATGTAATAAGGTTAATTTTGAATTTGTATGATGACTGTTTGGTGGTGAATAAAATTACATTATTAGTTCAAAATAAAAGTCTTATAGAAGTAACATGTTGATTAAAGACTTATTTAAGTGATCACTCAGTGTAAGAATGAATAATAGAGCTTCTGGGCTCAATCCATCTTATATAGAGAAAAAATTCAGATCTTAGTAGATTACGTTTTATAATTACTTACGGAGTATCTCTCACTTTTGTGATTACTCTTTGTCCTTTAATGGCGAATTACTCCGTAAAAAAAGAGGGTTTAACCTATCGCGAGAGGAGATGTCCGAAAAAAGAGAAGAAAAACAGAAAGTAATTAGTGTCCCATATAATTGATTGAAAGCTTGACAAAGTTATGAAATATTGTTAACTTGTTTTTGTCACTTAAAAATTCATATTTATATTTGGGGGTGTCATATTTCAGTGAAATCATAATATTTCATGTTATGGAGCATTGATTTTTGTATTGTTGTCACCTTTAAGTGAAATACTTAATTCTACTTGTATAAAGTTGTTCATTGATCATTTTATTTTTACTTTCAATTATCACTAAAAATAAGAATATATACTTATTTAATTTTTTTTGATGATTTGCACAAGTCTATATGCAAAAAAAACATTGTTTCGGTTATAAGTAACTTTGTTTTAAAATTTTAAATGACATAGTTTATATTTTAAAATGATGTCATTTATTCAATTTTTTTATAAAAAAATTAAACGACATCGTTTCTAGTTGTAAAATATTCCTAAACTACCGAGCCAATGGTCCGATACGCAGGTAAACTCCTTAGTGTCAGATAGATCGATCGGTTGCTGTAGAGACAGAGCTTCAAGACCCGTCTTTCAGTTCCCTGCGATTTTGAGAACGCCGGATTCGAAGACCGGCGAAAGACGGAGTGAAGAAGACCGGCTAAAGACGGCGAATAACAACTCACAATCTTGAATTGTGCAATTCCAGATTTCCAGGTTAGGTCTAACCCTAATTTCTTGGAATGAATTCGAAAGTAATTGAGTGTTTTCAAGATGATAGTAATTGTAATTGGTCTGGAGAAATTAATTGCGGTTTGGAATTAAGCGTTAAGCCCCAGTTTGATATTTAGCTTTCAAGTGTTGGAGTAGCTGCTTAAGTGTGTTGTAGTTTCCAAAACACAATTTGAAGAATCACATTTGTTGTTATTGTTATTATTGTTTTTATTATGCTTAGGGTTCTTGAAACTCAATCTTTGTGCTTATTGGTGCAGTTGACTTGCACACTTTTCTTTGGTGCTCTGATGCTGGTGGCAGCATGCAGATAGTAGTTTGGAGAGATGCAAAGGTATCGTGCTAACAGCTGCGCTGGTGCGGTAAATAGTAATAGCACGTTTGGTGGAGCAGCTGGAAGGGATATCTCCAGAGCTGAAGCTAATACATTAGCACCTAACTTCTCCAGGTTTGGTATATTATTCACACATTTCCTTGATTTCTATTATTTCATGTATCTGTTTGAACAAGGGATATGCTTTTTCCAGAACTGTCAACCCTTTATTCTTTCATGTGATCCGTAGTTGATTGTTTTTTTAAATTTCTGTTAGCTTTGCATACACAGCGTGAAATTTCATGCAATTTATTTTGGAACTCTTTATTCCGTGTATGAAGAGATAAAGGAATATATTACTGTCGGCTGTTGCCTTTAGAAATGTTTGTTGTGCAGAACTGTTTCATTTTTCAATGAATTTCCCTTTACTGAAGGATATGGTCATCTTTTTAATGCAGGCGAGCATTGCAACTGACAGCATTCAAATTGAAGTGCAATAAAGAACCACTAAATTCCAGGCACGTTCTGTGGATGCAAAATTCAGTATTTTCTTTATTCTTCATTTTTAGTTCTTTTAGTATGAATCACTTGTTATTCATTGGAGCGTGCATTTTTCATCACCATTCAATGTATTATCTGTATTTCATGTCCCTAAATGATGTCAACACAGATTTTCTGGTGTTGGTGTAACTGTACCTGCAACCTTGGAAATATGATGTTCTGATAAATTATGGACTAACAGACCATTCAAATCATATGCCCCCGCCCACCATTTAGTTATTTAGTGTTCTCCACGTTCTCATTTGCTCAGACTTATTATGACATGTGATTTGAATTTAGTTTGGTCTATAAATGCTTTCAGACTTGGACCACCTGACTTTCTTCCACTGACACCTAATTGCCCTGAAGAAACACTCAACCGAGAATATGTGCAATTTGGTTATCGGGAGGCAGTTGAAGGGATTGAGGTATTTTTCAGGAATGAGGACATTATAGCTCAGTTTGTGTAAATGAGGTTACCTGCGTCTTATGTTTCCTCCTGTGATGTGTATTAAATATTGCAACTTACTTTTGACATTATCAGGAAATACGCGAAAGCTCACTATCACAGGCTCAGGTTTTTTCGAAGCCTGTCATACTTAAATGCAAAGAGGTAGTTTCTTTGGAAGATAGTATGGCGGAGTGGGTTAGCCAGATAGTACCTTTGCTTTGAAAATTGAAACTGCTTTCAATTTTATGTCATTTCCAGGCAATCAGAAAGTGCCATAGGACCATCAATGAATCTCGGGCCAAAAAACGGAAGGTAAGAAGTTTTACCACTGTTATTTACTGTATGATTTTAGGTTTTGGCAATTTGGCCTCATCAGCATGAACTCCTATTGTTTCCCTAACAGATTTTAATAGTTTGGTAAATTAAGAAGTGTGGAATATATCTCCTCTGCTTTTGATTTTTTAATTTCTCTGCAAAACAACACTCACTGAACTTTTTCTCGCATCTCTTTTTTCATGTCCTAAAATTCACTTCTCATTTCCTATGAAGGAAACATTTGCGTGTTCATATATTTTATGACTTCTAAATCATCTAGCACCACAATTCCACTTTTCTTAATAACCATGCCAAGTCAACATGGGAAGTATTTTTAGGATTGATGGGATATTTTTCCCATTGGAAGCATGGTTTAAGTAATGGTAATATGTACTCCCCGTCTCCTTCCGTCCCTAAGTTAGTCACACTTTCTATTCTTTCCATCCCAAAAGTTAAAGTTACACTTCTACTTTTACCTTTTAAGGTAATAAATATGTGGCTCACTACATGTCTCTCTTTTCCAATTAAATTCTAACCACCCACTATTTACTTTTTAACATCCTTCTTTAACTCCTTGAAGTCAAAGAGTGACTTTGATTTGTGGAGGGAGGGAGTATTCTGTAGACAACTCAAAGATATGTTCAATGTGAATGATCATTTGATCTAATGCAGGCGGGCCAAGTGTACGGAGTGCCTCTTGAGGGTTCACAGTTGACCAAGGTTGGTATCTTCCCTGACCAAAGGTCATGTGGAGAAGATTTCAGAAAGAGGTGGATTGAGGTTAGTTTCTAACAATGTTTAGGAATTCCATAAAGGTTGATATGAGTTTTCCTTGCTTGCATCACTAATCTTTTGATCTTCTTTCCAGGGGTTAGCCTCACAACACAAAAGACTGCGGTCTTTGGCAGATCAGGTACCTCATGGTTACCGGAAAAGATGGCTTTTTGAAGTTCTTATCAGGAATAATGTTCCATTGCTACGGGCAACATGGTTTATAAAAGTGACATATCTTAATCAGGTAATATCTACTTGTTTAGCGAGTGAACTACATTAGTTCTTGCATATGCATTTGTTACCCTTGTCTGAGAGAGTTGCAGATAATGCATTATTTTTCTGTAGGTTCGTCCAGTATTCTCCAGTTTATCATCTGGTGTGCCTGACAAAACAAACTTTTCCCGTTCAGAGCAATGGACAAAAGATGTCATTGATTATATGCAGTGTCTCTTGGATGAATTTGTTTCAAGAAATACTGGCCATTCTGCTGCAAATATCAGAGATCGGTCACCACAAATGGTTTATCCAGGATCAATCCAGCTAAAAAATGAGCCAGTTGCTTCAAGTTCTGATCTTGGGGAGCCCTCACTACATTTTAAGTGGTGGTATGTTGTGCGTATTCTACAATGGCACCATGCTGAAGGATTGCTTTTTCCTTCTCATGTTATTGACTGGGTTCTCACCCAACTACAGGTTCCAGTTAATTTGAGCTCTTTTCAACTTAGTCCTAAATTGATTGGCTGCCGTGAGCTATCTACCGATTTTCATATTTTCCATCCTATGCCTCCAGGAGAAAGAGTTGCTTGGGCTTTTGCAGTTGTTACTACCTGTTATATATGGGTTTATTGAAACTGTTGTCTTATCCCAAACCTATGTACGTGCAATGGTGCAAATTGCTATTCATTTCATCCAAGAACCTTCCCCTGGTGGATCCGATCTGGTTGACAATTCACGCCGGGCATATACTATGTCCGCACTTATTGAGTTGCTTCGGTATTTGTTACTTGCTGTGCCTGACACATTTGTTGGTCTAGACTGTTTTCCTTTGCCCCCTTGTGTGGCAAATACATTTACTGATGGAGGTTTCTTCTCTAAGGTGTGTGAGGATGTCAAAAGGGTGAAAGTGGGTCCTCTTGAAGTTGCTGGAGTACTTAGAGACAGGGTTCCTGAGACTCGTTCTGAGTCTGTATCCATTGACCTTGTAGTATCTTCAATTAAGAAACGTGCAGATAGTCTTGCAGAAGCGGCAAGGCCTGACCATACAGGTCAAAATGTTGCCAAAGCTTTACACGCATTGGACAAATCCCTCGTAAATGGGGATTTGCGAATACCGTATAAGTTCCTCTTTGAAAATCATTGTGATGGCATTGTGGATGAAAGCTGGATAGCAGAAACCAGTTCTTGTTTGTTTTCCTCCCTTAAACATATCGGGGAAGTGAATCTCTCATTTATCTGTTCTGTTTTTTTCATTTTTGAATGGGCAACATGTGATTTCAGAGACTTCCGCTCTAGCCCGTCGCACGAATTAAAATTCACTGGTAGAAAGGATTTCTCTCAAATTTACATTGCAGTACGACTTCTCAAGCTAAAGATGAGAGAAGTGCAAATTTCAAGCCAGTTCAAGAATGAAAGCAATGTAAAAATAGAGAATGTTGGAAAGGATCCAGGCCAGCAGAATAACATTCATAGAAGTGTTGGTAATGGTGTCGGTGAATCTTTTCACAGCACAAAGAGCAGGGCTGTTAAAAGCAAGGATTTTCTACGTTTGTTTGATAGTCCAAGCCCTTTGCATGATGTTATTGTTTGTTGGATAGATCAACATGAAGTTCATAATGGAGAAGGCTTGAAGCGCCTTCAATTACTTATTGCAGAACTTATCAGGGCTGGACTCTTTTATCCCCAAGCTTATGTTAGGCAGCTGATTATTAGTGGTGTCATGGATGAGAATGTACCTCATGTTGATCCAATTAACAGAAAAAGACATTGTAGAATCTTGAAACAGCTGCCTGGTCCTCAAGTCTATGATGCTCTTGTAGAGGCCCAAATTGCTGAACCACAGATACTTTCAGAGCTGATGAATGTATACTCAACTGAAAGGCGTTTGGTGCTTCATGGGGTGCTTGACCGCTATAAAAGCCCCAGTGGAGCTAGTAGTTCACACATGAAATGTAAACATCTTGACTCAGGAGGTGAAATTGCTTCTCCACCATTTGTAGAGTGCAGATCTGTTCCGTTAACACAAAATGCTTTACCCAAAAATATGCACACAGTTGAAGTTGAAGACCTAAAATTTTCAGTTTGCATGGTGTTGCAATTTCCTTGTTCGATATTAACTGAAGCAGGCCTTCTTCAGGCTCAAAAAAAAGTTAAGAAGCATTGTGTGGCTTCCCCCAACACTATGGATATAATTGAAGCAACACCAGGATGTGAAGAGTGTAGAAAAGCAAAGAGACAAAAGCTGAGTGAGGATAAGAGCTCAATTAAAATTTACCCGCAGAATCAATCAGATGATGAAGAGAGTTGGTGGGTAGGGAGGTGCCAAAAGCCCGTGGAATCTTTTAAAGTAGATCCACCACCTCCTAAGCCAACCAAACAATCCACACGGGGTCGGCAAAAGGTTGTCCGAAAAACTCAAAGTCTTGCACAGCTTGCTGCTGCCAGGATTGAAGGTAGTCAGGGAGCATCAACAAGTCATGTTTGTGATAGTAGAGTGAGCTGTCCACATCATAGGTCTGGCTCTGAAGGTGATCACCCAAGGGCAGTGGATGGAACTAAAACTCAACGATTTTCTGACATTGTTTCCATTGGAAAGCTACTAAAGAAGGAGAAAGCTGTGAAAAAAAGAACAATGACCTTGTGGTTAATAGGGGTTGTAAAGAAGCTTGTTGAAGAAACTGAGAAGAATCTGGCCAAGGTTGGCCAATATGGGAGATCATTTGCTACTGGCGATGAACAAGGTTCTATTCAATGGAAACTTGGTGAAGAGGAGCTTTCTATGATCTTATATCTGATGGATGCTTGTAATGAATTGGTTTTAGCACTCAGGTTCCTTTTGTGGTTGTTACCTAAGGTACATGGATGTGCCACTGTAACAATCCATGGCAGTAGGAATGTTCTTGTGATCCCGAGGATGGCAGAGAACAATGTGTGTGAAGTTGGTGAATCATATGTCTTGTCATCTGTGCAGAGGTGGATTCTAATTCATGTTCTCCCTATATTCGTTCTATGCTTTGTGGTTATATGTTAGTTTATGATAATTATGGCTGGTTGTCCTCATAACCATATTCACACTTAACTTGGGGACGGTTCCCATGACATTGCCCGGCACGGCAATGTCATAACATGACCCGGGGGCACTCCGGTGGCACGTTTGTAAAATTGATGGTTCCTACCCCCCTAACCCCCCGGTAAACCCGTCCACCCCGCCCCGAACCGAACACACCCCCACCCCTTTCAATTGCACCCCACAAGTTAATTTTGACTTTGGAGTCGAATAAGGGGGTGGGGGTGTGTTTGGGTCGGAGCGGGGTGGGGGGGTTTATCGGGGGTAGGAACCATCAATTTTACGGACTGGGCACCGGAGCGCCCCTGAGTCATCCCATGACATGGGGTTCTAATGTCATGGGAACCCCACCGCTTAAACTTTATGCCCTTGGCAACATTTTCTAATTTCTATCTATATGAGCAAAAGCCTAATGTAGATGATCTTTGCCTCCAATTTAAGGATAGAAAGTGAGTGGGGTGGGTGTATATTGGATTCATATATTTTCAATTACCTGATCTTTCCTCACCTTTAATTTTATTAAACGATAAGGGCTAATTTCTTTGTGCTTCATACGGCATCAATAATTCTGATATTGTATACTTTATTTGTGGGGGATCCTTTAGCTTGTAGGCTTGAGAGCATAAACCAGATAAAACTGCTGCTACTACATGCAGAGGGCATATTTTCTTTGGTTAATGTTTTAAACCAGTCCAGCAGCCCTATGCAGTTAAATTCTTGTAATTCAGCACCTCCAAATTCCTGAACAGTTAGTCAGAGTAACATTTGTTTTATGCCTTTGCTCACCTTGAATTTTATTGAAACCTAGTGTCTAATTTATTTGTGCCTTCTTCATACTACATCAATAATGCTGATGTTTTGTGAGAATATCTGAACTTTCTTTTTGTGGGATCCTTTAGATTGCAGGTTTGAGAGTATAAACCATTGGATAATGTTCTAGGGGTGGGATTATTTTTCCTGAACTTCACATGCTTGCATATTTGTATTTTGTATGTTCTGGTTTTTTAGGAACACAACAAAACTATGTTTTCTTACCTTTGCGATGGATTGGTTCAGGTATGAAAATGTACTTGTTGCTGCAGATCTTATTCAAGACGTACTGTCTGCAGCAATGCATCGTTGTGCTGCCATCATGTCATCAAACGGAAGAGTTTCAACTTCACTATCCTTAGGTTATGCTCGGTACCTTTTAAAGAAATATGGCAGTGTGCCCAGTGTTGTTGAATGGCAAAAGAACTTCAAATCAACACATGATAAGAGATTGACTTCTGAGCTTGAATCTGGAAGACTTTTAGATGGTGATTTTGGATTTCCTCTTGGGGTGCCAACTGGAGTGGAAGACTTGGATGATTTCTTTCGCCAAAAGATAAGCAGTGTTCGTGTATCAAGGGTAGCATTGACCATGAGGGACATAGTTCAAAGAAGAGTTGATGAGGCTTTTCAGTTTTTTTATGGGAAAGATAGAAAACATTTGGGTCCCAACTCCATTAGAAGCCCTGGATTTGAAAATTGGGATGATGGGTATCAGATAGGCCAACAAGTGGTAATGGGATTATTGGATTGCATGAGGCAGACTGGTGGTGCAGCCCAGGAAGGTGATCCTACCTTGGTTTCGTCTGCTATATCTGCAATTGTTTGTAATGCTGGCCAGGTAATTGCCAAAATTCCTGATATAGCTTCTAATAACAATCACTTTAACTCCTCAGTCACTTCAGACCCACTGCAAGTTGCTCGGTGTATATTGCGTGTACATATAACCTGCCTTTGCCTACTTAAGGAAGCACTAGGAGAGCGTCAAAGTCGTGTCTTTGAAGTTGCTCTTGCAGTAGAAGCTTCTTCTGCTCTGGCACAAAATTCTTCTCCTGTAAGAGCTCCTCGCTCCCAGTATCATCAGTCTTCTGAATCCCATGATCTCACTGTTAGATTTGCAGCTGCTGTTTCTGCTCTTGTTGTTGGAGCAATAATACAGGGAATTGTGAGCCTTGAGAGGATGATTTCCCTTTTGAAGTTAAAAGAAGGTCTTGATGTTATTCATTTCATAAGGAGTATTAGATCTAATTCAAATGGCAATTCACGCTCAGTAGGGGCTTTCAAGGGTGATAATAGTTTAGTTGAAGTTTCAGCCCACTGGTTTAGGGTACTAGTTGGAAATTGTCGGACAATTACTGATGGACTGATTGGTGGCTTACTGGGAGATGCTTCTATAGTAGCTCTGTCCAGAATGCAACGAACACTGCCTTTGAACTTAGTTTTTCCTCCTGCCTATTCAATGTTTGCATTTGTACTATGGAGATCAATCATTCTCAGTCCTACCATTGGATCTCGTGATGATATGCAGCAACTATATCAGTCCTTACTGCTGGCTCTTGGTGATGCCCTAAAACACCTCCCCTTTCATGAGGTATGCCTGAGAGACACACATGGCTTGTATGATCTTATGGCTGAAGATACGCTTGATACAGACTTTGCGTCCTTGCTAGATTCAAATGGTTCAGATATGCGTCTGAGGGCTTCTGCCTTTGTTCCTCTACGCGCAAGGTTGTTTCTAAATGCCCTTATAGATTGTCGAATGCCACAATCATTAAGTAAACAGGAAGATGTTAATCGGATTTCATCAATACTAGGTGATTTGAAAGCGGAAAATGGGGTAAAGCTTGTACACATTTTGGATACCTTGCAGCCTGCAAGGTTTCATTGGCAATGGCTGGAGATTAGACTTCTTTTGAACGAACAAGCTGTCATTGAAAAGTTGGATAGGCATGATACTTCACTGGGGGAGGCATTGAGGTTTCTGTCACCAAATCCTGATAAAGTTGCTGCTTCTGATAATGAGGGAAACTTGATTGAGATAATTCTCACTAGGTTACTTATCAGACCAGATGCATCTGCTCTCTTTTCAGAGGTGGTACATATTTTGGGGAGGTCGCTTCAGGATGCAATGCTAAAGCAAGCTAAATGGTTACTAGAAGGAAATGATGTTCTTTCTGGAAGAAAATCTGTCCACCAGAAGCTGTTCAGTATTGCGGTGACTAAAGGTTTGTCAACAAAGCCTCAATATAGTAGGTCATGGGGATGGTGTGCTAGTAACGATGATCCTATGACAAACAAGGGGGAAAAGGGGAAATTTGACGTCTCTTCTCTTGAAGAAGGAGAGGTTGTTGAGGAAGCAACGACCTTAAAGCATTCGGGGGGAGGTTCTGGTCAGGTTGTGGATGATGTTGATGGCTTCCCTTCTGCACACCAGCATAAAACTCAGAGAGCTTTCATAAAATTAGTTCTGCCTTGCATTGATCAAGCTTCTGATGACTCAAGGAACAGGTTTGCTGCTGATATGATCAAGCTGATAAATTCCATTGAGCAGCAGATCAACGCGGTTACTCGTGAAGTAAGCAAGCCAGCTGGAGCTGTTTCTTCTGGAGTTGATATCCCAACAACAAAAATGACTACTCGCAAAGGTGTTAGAGTTGGCAGTCCTGGATTGGCCAGGCGATCGACTCCTCCTAGTGAAACTGTACCACCTTCCCCTGTGGCATTGCGAGCATCTATTTCACTGAGGTTGCAGCTCATCCTGAGAGTACTCCCTATTATTTGTGGAGATGGGTAAGTTTACACATCATTGATTTTATCTTCTCTTTTGATGGACACCTTACTTAATTTGCTTGTTTTTTCATTTAATCTCAACCATTAAAACCTCACAGACGTTAGGTATTTTTAGTTTTAATCTTGTAGCATTATTTCCGAGGCAATGGTATGATGTTAGAAATGTAACTACTTTTTTAGGTTTTGCATTAACATTGTGTTTAGTTGGGGTGAAGTAAGAAAGAGAAATCTGAGGGAGAGAAATAGAGGAGACTGGGAGACGATAAACTCCTCTTTTGTGATGTGGAGAAATAGGAGAGATAGGTTTCTTACTTCTTAAATTCTACCTACCCCTTGTACATATCTCTCATAGCAAACACAAAATCTATCCTTTCTCTCTACTTTTCCAGTTTTCCTCTCCATTCTTTTTCCACCCATATCTTTCCTCTCAAATTCTTCCCTAGGCCAAACAAAGACTAAATTGTCCTTTGATTGAAATATTGAATGCATGGTTACTTTAGTTAATAATGAATGTTAACATCCCTAGTTTCTCTAGTTAATGATAGTTTAATTTGGCATCAATTTCCAATCATTTGGAGTCAATACTAGAATTCCTTACTCACCTATAACACCTTTAGTTTCTCTTTCAGACACCTTTTAATTACCTTAAAAAACTAGCAACCCGCTAAAATTCTAAAACATGAATGTGTGCTGCTAATGGAAGTCTTGTAATTGCATTTCCAGAGAACTGTCCGGGAGGAGCCTGAGATACCCTCTTGCTTCAGGAATATTGCGTTTACTTGGAAGTAGGGTCATATATGCTGATGCTGGTCACTGCTTTAACTCAAGTTTTACCTCAAAAAGAGATCCAGATGCATTACTAGAAGCTTCTGGCAGTGCATCAGAAGCTGTGATGGGGGAAAGCCTCTTCGATTGTTTGTTATTGGTGCTGCATGCTTTGCTAAGTAGCCATCCACCAAGTTGGCTGAAGATAAAATCTAGCTCTAAGTCAACTAGTGAATGTAGCAAGGACTATGCCGCATTAGATCGTGATGTTGCAGAGTCTCTCCAGGTTTGATCATTTAACCCGATAATATGAAGGAGCCACAAATGGTAGTGGAAAATGGATTGATTGGATAAATTTTCATCCAGATTGCAATGGATAGATAAATTAATCATGAAACGTTGACATTTTTTACATGGATAGATATCCAATCCATCTATTTCGCATTACCTTTCATGTGTAGAGATTGAACTATCAACAAATAAATCATTAAATAAATGTAAAATAATCCATCTATGTTCTCATTACCGACATGAGAATCAGCTCTATTCTTCTCATGTTTGGAGACACCTTACATCTCATCCTCATGGTCAACACACGTCTTTTTCATAAAATATTATCTAATGCCCGGTTTGTTAAGTCAGTTTTTATGCAGAATAGGCATGATGAGACTTTTGTTCTAGTGCATCTTCCTGTGTTTCCAGTTGGATTAGCTAAACCCACCTTATCAGCTCCGAGCTGGAGTTGAGTTTTACACAAGTAGTCTAGTGATAGCTTTTTGTTCTCATAATGTTCCACAACTTTTTTAAAAAAATACCTACTTTCTAAATTCCCAAATATCTTAGTACGAGTAATTCTTAAATCATAACTGTAGTTTAAACAAACACCTAAACCAAAATTTCTCAATGGTTGTTTTAAGAGCAATAATGACAGCTGCAGCTCAAACCAACGGCTCCTGAGTAGTTTTTCATTTTTTACTTTGTTTTGCTGAAATTGATGTTACCGAACAGCGAACACTTCTAAAAAGGGAGATTCGGTCATGTCATTTTAACACAATTTTACCCTTACAAACGATCCTGTTTAAAGTTTGACTAATCTGAAAGTAATGCTTACACTCTGTTTCAGAATGATCTAGATCAGATGCAATTGCCTGATTCAATTCGGAGACGCATCCAAACAGCAATGCCAATTATTTTCCCTTCTGTTCAGCACTCGGTCTCATGTCATCCTCCATTGGTATCACCTGCAGCTCTTGCTACACTTTTACCTAGCAATCCGGTATCTGTATTGCAATCTGGCGGGACCCAGCATAGGAACCACCATCATCCTTCATCTCTACTTAGTAGGGGAGCAACTAATTCTGCAGGGAAGACTAAGCAGCAATCATCACAGCCTCCTCCACCACCACAGCAAGACCACCATCATGATCTTGAATTCGACCCTTGGATTCTTTTGGAGGACGGGGCAGGGTCGAGCCAGTCATCATCAAACGGCTCTAACACAGGTGGTGGTGATCATGCCAATCAGAAGGCTGCAAGCTGGCTTAAGGGCAGTGTAAGGGTGAGGAGGACAGATCTCACTTACATAGGCGCAGTCGACGACGACAGCTGATTTTGAGTTGATAAACGTACCAAATTTGTTTTCCCTTCGGTTGCCCAAGAAAAGAGCAAAGCTTCCCGGCTCACTCCCCTGCTGTATTTTCCTTCTCTGCCATGGGGAAGTGCCGTTGAGAGCGCTCTTTTTTGAATTTTAGGCTGAAAGCGGGGCCCACTTGGGCTGGCATCTTCGGGAGGGGCACTATGGAAACTAACCAACCCTTCAGACATTTTTACCGGGCAAGCTTATTCAACTAGACAGAGTCCACGGTCCTCCGCTCAAGTGCTAACCCGTCGATTTTGATGCCCCGTGCCAGGACCGTGTGGCTCTAGTGGCGCAGTTGGGAGGTTGTTGTACATATTAAAAGAAAGAAAATGAAGTCATTGTTCCCTCATGTGGTCTTGTTGTTTTGATATCTGAACACCTGATTAATTGATGTACCCCTAGATGATGATGATGATAGTTAATGCCCTCAGCAAAAATGTCATGTGCTTTAAATCCATTGCTGTTGTATTTTTCGCATCTTTCCTTAAGTCCCCATTCATTTGGGGATCTGTGGAAGAGAGCCATGCCTGTTGTAGCCAAGTTTCTGTATTTTTTTTGCTACTTTGGTTAGTTGTAGACTTGTAGTAGCAGGTGTTCTTATAATTATAGTTATGATTATTGTTATTAATGTTAGAGTAATTTTCCAAAATGGTCATTTGTGATAAGATATTTTTCCAATTCAGTCCTCAATAAGTTTTAATTACCTAATTGAGATTTATACTTCAAGTAGTCTTTTGTAAATAATGTTAATCAAATGATGATTATTTATGGATTTTCGATATGAGTTTTAGAATTTTAAAAAACGCTGCGAGTATTTAGCTATAACTTTTGATGATAAGGTTTTCAAAGTTAATTTGTTATTTAAAAAATTATTCAAATGCAAATTTCAAATTTCTTTTCTTCAATGTTAAACCAAGTATTAAGTATTTATCAACTTTAACATTAAAATTTTCTTCAATATTGTGTTTTGGTTTTTACTTATAATTTATTTTTAAAATAGTTTAATTTAAAATAAGATATCAATTCTCATGATATACAAAGATTTTCATATGAAATGTGTGAAAAATAACTCCTCAATATACGTAGAATTAATTTTTGCTAGAGCATTTCTAAAGAGTTTGGTATTATTTGGATGCTAAATGTTACAAATTATTATAATTTGGATTGCTAAATCTTACGAATTATTTTAGATCGGGAATAGTGTTTTACCTACATATTATTTACTCATCCCTCCAACCATATTTGGTAAATTAGTACCTATTTATTGCAGAATATATTTTATTCTCATTGTTCTGTTTTTACTATTTTTAAACTTTATAAAGATAAAAGTAAAGTTTTTTGTGGGATAGAGGAAGGACATATTTTACTTCTTTACTATTTTAAAAAATAGGAAAACAATGGTTTTTGATGATGCTAATTGTATATTTCGCATAAAAAGATATAATAATACAATTTTGCAATTAGAAACTCTAAAATTACAAATAATTTATTTGAATCGTGTAGATGATAATCATTGTATATGCATATTTGTGATTTACAGATTATTTAATTTTGGTGTTAAAATAAATTCATCGAAGTACATTTATCACGTGACTTTAACTGTATTTAGAAAAAACTAATTAGCCTTTATTCTTTCTATATGTCACTTTTTTCCTTTAATGACTACTCACCTAGCAAAAAGGATGAGTTTTACTGAGAGAAGGTAAATTAGACCTTGATTGCAGATTGATCACAAAGATTAGAATGTGCACCTGATACTTTGATCTCAGACCTCATCACATCCAAAACATTTTTGGAATGTCAATACCAAAATACACTCTTATTAAATCTCTTAAAAATCAAAATTGAAAAAGTTTTAAGGGACGAAGATGGTATGAATGTACAACTACAACCTGACAAAAGAGTCTCACACCGATTGCATGGTCCATCTGTTTGCTGGTCACTGGTTCATGTTTATTTCGTTTACTAATTTTGTTTGTTTGCGAAACTATATTCTAATTAGCTTTTACCATGTATTTTGAACGAGCTGAATCGTATTCTCTTATAATCTTACCCAAAAGTATTCTTGGTAACATTATTAATATATAATAATATTTTGAAACAGAAAGAATTACTTTTTGCTACTCCAAAGTAGTACGGAGTAGTATATTTCAAAATACTCACTATATTAGTTGGTCAAACTTTTGGCAAAAAATATTGAACCGAATCATTACAAGAAAAAAGTGAAACGTCCCGTCCGCCGAGCGCCCCCACACCCCGAACCAACCGGACCATTACAAAGAATGGATGGAGTAGACGGAAACAACATAGGCTCTGGGGAAAGCCCTGAAAACTGAAAAGTATGATTGATGAGTTAACATGTCTCCCAAGTGTCATTATTATCCAATGGATGACCACTGGGTGACTGGGTCATCTGAGCTCTGAAGAGAGATTCTTTTTGATTGATTCAATCCACTTCAATCAATCACATCTGCATCTTCCATTGGGCTCCATTTCTCCAGATATTCCCTGAAAAAGAATCAAGAGTGGGAAGCCCCCCCATAACCATACATATACATCCTGTGGAGGAGTTGAGTTACAAGCATCACACACCCAAATACCCCAACCCAAATTGTAAATTTTAATTTATTATTTACTCCGTAATTTATTATCATATTGCATGCTTCTGTAATTTCTCCATCTTATTAAAACTGGGTAAGTTCTTGATTCCATGATCCTTCAAAAAAAAGGTTGTTGATTTCTGATTCTTGAAGAAACCCTTTTCTCTGTTTCACTTTTATGGATTTCCCAGTTTGAAAAAGTATGGATCTTTATTCATCTTTAGGATTTTCTTGACTGAATTTGGGGCAGATTGAAGAAAAGAGAGAAATGGATGTTGAAGGGAAGAGTCCAGATAAGGAGGCAGTGAGTGAAGATGCCTCATTGAAGAAGTGTCTGGAAGGGAACAAAGGAGACATTGATAAGTGCAAGTCACTGCTGGAAGCATTCAAGAACTCCTCCTCCTCTTCTGCTGCTGCTGCACAAAAACAGAAGGCATTGGCTCCCCTTATGTTGAGAAGTGGTTCTTTGACTGATGTTTAATATAATGATGATTCCAAATTGGGTTTTGCCCCCATAATTTGTAGGGACATGTTCTGTAATTCTGTGGGATTGTTTTATAATGTGTAATATCATATCATCATGGATTTCTTTCTGCATCTTTTTTTGATTGTTCTAAGCTGTTTTCATGTCTTTTTAGCCAAAGCTAAGTCTTTGGGAAGCATCTCTGCTGTAATCACAAGGATAAAGTCTGTGTAACCTATTCTACAGACCCAGGCCCCCAACTTGTAGGACCTATTGGATTGTTGTATGACTTTTCCTTGTGCATCAATGAAGAAGACTGTCATTTGTGGGCTTTATGTTTCCCACTCCAAGTGTGGGTTGGGGATGTGTGTAGTGGTTAAGGGATTTTGCAGTGGAAGGTTCAGTAAAAATTTAAGGGAATGCCATGGATTTGACAAAACTGCCTTTCAAGCAAAGTGTGTGAGAGTTACCCTTCCTTATTATCATGAATGGCAAATTTTGACATTCCCCTAGTGTTCTTGTGAGCCCATCTCTACTCATATTCTTTTTTCTCTTGACAAAAAAGAAAAAGACCATCAAATCCCAGTGCCCCTCGTGCCCTTATCCCTACTAGGATTCGCGATTCGGTCCACATTATCTTGGATCCCTCGGCCACTTAAGCTAACTGCCCAAGGCAAGGGGTTTTCGTATGTGCTTTCATCGATACAAATAATCGTATTAGCTTACATGTCAAATAGCTTACAACTCAAAAAATACGTAAAAATTTGACCCTCCAGTATTGATTTACAGTTGAAATGATACATTGAGAAGTAAAAAAAGATTAGGATGTCTTAGTTGAAGCCTTGAAGGGGAGCCTTGGAGTGACCTTGAAGTTACGGGTTCGAGTCATGCAGCAAAATTTTCCTACGCGACACCAGCGTGGTGGCGTGGTGGTTACCCTTCTTTAGTTAATTGTATGGAATGATGAGATCCCTACACACTATTACTGTTGGTTTCTCATGGTCTTATCCACAAAAACCACATCTTCAATCCAAGCAACAATGTTGAATGCCAAACTCTCCAACACTCTTGAATAGCTCTCAAGGATTGATTTTCCCACATCCTGAATTTAAATAAAAAAGAACAGATTTTTTTAGAACAATCGTAAAAAAAATTAAAAATCTTTGCACGCACAAAAGAATTAAAAAAAGATATTTTTTTCCTTCAAATTACCTTATTGCATTGGATCTTGCATGTGTCCAATGTTGTTTGTGAAAGCTCGGGATACCTTTGCTTCAAGGTAAACAGCAATGTCTCTGCTCTTTCAGCAAAAACACAGTTTTTATCTGGTTTATTATCAATGTCAGACATGAGTTCTTTGACCATCTCCCATGAGGATTTTGCATGAGCCAAACAAGCCTTCCTTCTCCATGTGTACATGGATGCCTCTACTTTGTCTGCAAGTTCAAGTGCTTCATGTTCTGAGCTTATATTTACACTGTCAAGAAGTTTTTCCGGAGAAAACTTCTCCCCTGAACTTATGTACCGATAAATCGATTCTCCCACACTTGCCTTCCCACTCTGACAAAAAAAACACATAAACTCCCATGAAATAATTTCGTGTAAAATGGAGAGGAAAAATAATTTCGTGTTCGAACGGAGTATTGTAGGACATTCAAAATGGAGAACCAGGCTCTATTCAATATAAACTACTCAAATGGCCTAAAGTGAGAGACGTATATACCTTAGGGAGGGAGGCAAAGTAAGAATGTGGGACTCCCATATCAGATAGAATGGTAGTGTTAATGGCCATTGCTGCTTTGTGGATCTGATGAGCACATTTCCCTTTTTGCCTCAAATTCTTCCTCGATTTTTCAGAAAGCCCTCCGTGCGCGACACACACATCCGGCAACCACCACTTCTCCTCATTCCTCTGGGGCTGAGGCTGGGGCTGAAGTACCCTTCTGAAGGACCCGTGCCGCCTTGATGAGTTCCCCCTCCCACTTCCTTTCTCTGTGTACCAAAACTCACTTGCCTCAAAACTGTCCAAAATCTCCTGCATTATATACGGCCAAAGAACCTATTGAGAATAAGACATTTATATCATCTTCCTAAAGCTAAGTTTACTTTGAGTTTGAATTGTTTCTCAAATTGTGTGTGAATTTTCTCACAAATTTGCTTAAAATGTGCTCATAAAGAACATAATAACTAAAGGGTAATTTACCTAAATAGGACTAAAACATAATGACTTTCTCAATATAGGATCATATGTTTTTATTTCCCAATGTAGAACCATTGGTCATTTTCTATTAGTCATTATTCAACTAAATGTCCAGCATCACTTGAACATTATTCTTCTCACTAGTCATTATTAAGTCCTATTTAGGGAATAAAAAAGTTTAAGTCCTACATTGGGAAATGACTTATCTAAAAGTCATATTATGACCCCAAAACCAACGTCAAAAGAACCGTGGATTAACTGAAAAACGAGTCGACCAAACTGACACTATAATTCTACACACACACACACAGATATATATGTTCTTGTATATTTAACATACCAGGAGCATTGTGTCTAGTTTTCTCAAACCCGGAAGGTTCATGTGGATATCTGATCTTGGCCTGCTTGTCATCACCTATAAATTGTATGGTTCATAATGTTAATTTAGCTCCAAAGTTGAACAAAAAAAAAGGATGGATGAAGAGAAAATTGTAATTAAGGGAATTATTGGAGAATGATTATTAACTTTGTTTTTTTAAATGATAACAAAAATTGTACCTCAATAGTGGTGCCATCCTGTAACACTTGTGAAGTGGGCACAAATTCTACAATGTAATCACACACAGACAAAAGACAGTTCATTTCCCTCTTCCACATTGACTTCATATCACTGCTCAATGGCTCCAATTTCTGGTGCTGACCAAAAACAGATGCTGAAAGCAACATATAACACCACAATTTTATTATTATTATTTATTATTATAATTATAATTATTATTTATGTCTTAGGAATTATATTATTACCAAAAAGGTTAGTAATGGAATTTGAAATGGTAACAGCAGTAGACACCCCTTTCCCACTTCCTGACATGTCTTCTCCCAACAACAGCTTTGAAAACCTTTCCTTCATCATTTCCACCTCTACAACCAGCATTGATAAATTTTGATTATTATTTTTCCAACAATTAAAAAGACAACATAAGAAATGAGCAGCAAATTAAACAATATAATGTACATGGATACAACTTTTGCATAAACTCCTCACCTGAATCAACATTCTTGGAATCATCTTCGAATCTCTCTTGATGTCTCATACCGAGCCTCGAAAGGGCTTTGCTATGTGTTGGGGATTTGAAGAGGGGAAAAGTCACCGGAGACGACTCGGTTTCCCAGCTGGCATTGTCTTCAGCTGAAGTCATCGTCTCCGATGAGTTCCTTCTGCAATACCCAAAAGAAGACGAAGACGAAGAAGAAGAAGAAGAAGAAAAATCCCCACTTTTCAATGCTCTTTCTGATTGATCATCTGTTTCTTCATCATGAAAACTCTCCATTATTTTATGATGAGACTCTTTCTTTCTGCAGGAAATCAAACGCAGAGCATAGTAGGAATTGAAGGTTCTTTAAATAAGGGCAAAGAAAAGAAACCCAACAGAAGAACTGCTGAGAACAGTTCAAGATGGAATTTAAACTACAAAAAAAATGTAAAAAGAAAAAGAACAAAAAAAACGAAAATCCAAGAAAAGTAAAAGAGGATTATTCCAGTTTGTGATTATAAGTTTGAATAAACCACTGGCGGGCTGATCTGCAAGTACAAATAAAAGCAGTCTCGAAGTATTATTTTCAAGAATAAAAGGGGAAAAGAAAAAGAGAAATCTCAAAATGAAATAAAGATTTAACGGTAAAATAAAATAAAATCTTTAACTCACCCTTTTAATAGCGCAAGATTTGAGTTCAAATTCAACACCGTTGGGAAAAGTGCCACCCAATTCCAAGAACTTTCTTTATCTTCTTGAAGAAAGGATAAAAGAAGGATCTTTATAAGTAATTCTTGCTTAGCTAATCAATTGCTGCTAAAAATGGATTATTTGTTCTTTTTTCATGGACATGTATATATATCCAGTGGGCACGCATGCATATATAATTTGTAACTCTATTATTTGTGTGAAGATTTTACAGTATTAATTATTTACAATGCTTTGGTCAACGATATAGTCCCTATAATACCCCTTGGACTCTTTGCTGATTTATTACGAACAAATTGCCAAATTGAGGGAGTTGGAGTAAAGTAAAACTGTTAAAACTTAAAAGTTAATACTATCATGATCTATTATTCAAAGAAAATTACTCAAAGAGATTGATATTTTATGATCAAATTGAAAAAATATTTGTCGTGATTTAAATAAAAAATACAGTATACAAACAATAGCTCAAATGAGCACCCGGAGATTTTCAAGTGTTTTCTTAACAATATAAATTTAAGTGTATCATTTAAGACAATAGATAAATAGAGAATGATGTGAACTAAGGGATTCAAGTCGGTTGGTGAAAATGGTAGATTCGGGCTTTATACGTGACAAAAGAATACTCCGTAAGTTTTAAACTAAAAGAAAAATTTTACCGAGCACTTTGATTAGAGCAGCTATATTGTATGGAAGAAAATGTTGGGAAGCAAAGTGTGAACATGAACACAAGAATATAAATTGTGGTAGAAATGAAGATACTTCGGTGGATGAGTGGTCATACACGTATGAGTAGAATAAAAAATATAATGAAGATATGAGAACTAAAATTAGAGTTAAACATATTATAAAAATGATGTTGAAGATTCGTCTTAGGTAGTTCAAACATGTAGAGAGAAAACTAATAGAACATCCGGTGAGAAATTTTGCTAAAATGGTACGGTGAATATATAGACATGTAGTTAGAGGGAGAGGTAGACCAAAGAAGACTTGACACAAAGTAGTCAAGGGGAACATTTGCATAAATAATCTCACTGCAGATATGATACATCGTTTGATCTATGTAGCCGACTTCATGACCTAATACCTCGTGGCTCGATGCTTTTTGCTAGTGAAATTTGCACTAAATAGGACTAAAACATAAGTCATTTCTCAATGTAGGACTTAAACTTTTTTATTCCCTAAATAGGACTTAATAATGACTAGTGAGAATAATAATGTCCAAGTAATGCTGGACATTTAGTTGAATAATGACTAATAGGTAATGACCAATGGTCCTACATCAGGAAATAAAAACATATGGTCCTAGATTGAGAAAGTTATTATGTTTTAGTCATATTTAGGTAAATTACCCCTTTTGCTATAGTGCTCCATTGGGCTCGGGCCTGATGTTTGGTCGTGGTGTTGGAGAGAGGAGTGAGATGGTGGCCATGGGGTTGGGTTCTCTTTAGGGAGAAAGACCAAACTAGAACTAAAACATTGAAAATATGCCAAACATGGTCATATACATTACCAAAAAAGTATAGTAATTTGCACATGTACACTGCCACATTACAATAATGCAAAGTCACATTACCACAGTGCAAAGTTCTATTCTGGAAAAAAACATGAAAGTCCTATTTTGGTACTTTTCTCTATGTTTTAGTCCTATTTAGGATGATTTCTATTTTTTTAACAACCATGTTAGGTGTAAACTAAGATGTAGATTAATACTTTAGAAGTCAAATTCGGGTTCGGGTATCATACTATTCGACTTGTTGCCCGAATCTGTATAAGTAGCTTTATTCTTTTTTACTTTTTAAAATTTTGTAAAATCAATTTGTCATTTATTAATGGATAAACAAAATGTCAGAAATTGAATGTGAATATCAGATGATGCACTTTAAAAAAGAGTACATGTAAAATACTCCCTCCGTTCTCAAAAACACTTCCTCTTTCATTTTTTTCACTTCCAACAAAACACTTCCCCTCTCTATTAAAAAACCACTTTTACCCTTACTTTTTCATACCCTACCTATCACATCATACTTTTTCTCTAATAATAAATCCATCACATCTTACTTTTACCCATCACATCAGGGGCAAAATTGGAAGTCAACTATAAATTTACACTTCCTTATTTTGCCTTATAGTCAAAGTGGGGAGGCTTTTTCCAAACGAAGGGAGTATCAAATTAGACAATTTTTCATTTCTTAGAGTAAATAATCTTTCATTTTTTTAAATCTGTGATCTCTCGTTTGAAAAAATCTCAATAATAATGCTACTTGATCACAAGATCTTTGGCGTAGATAATAATATAATATTTCATCATGAGTTTGTCATTATTTAATTTCAATAATTACATTGTTCAATTTAATTATTGGCTTACAATAATTGTCATGCTCCTTGTCATGCTCTCTCACACTTGTTATTTCTTAATATTTTTTGTCATGAACTTAAAATTAGAAACTTAATTTAAAAGTAAGCCAATAATTTAATCATATGAAAATATAAGCCTATATGTTGTGGTTTCCTTCAAAAAAAGGCACGTGAATAATTATGTGAATTAAGGAGTATTAGAAAAAAACACACTTTTGTTTTATTTTGGTGTCGTTGAAAATCACAACATGCCGTATATACAAAATTTGTCCACCTACTTCCTACTCCCAAACGTGACATCTTTTTTTTTTTTTTCTTTTTTTAAATGAATGCTAGCTAATTTTTGGGAACATATAATTATCGTTCCTGATAAAATGTTGGTTGGATTTGGAACATTACTCAATTCAGTACATCTAATTTAATTCTGTTGAACATTTTTTTTAGTCCAGTTCAATTTAATAATAATAATAATAATTAATAAGCTGTCCTCTATGGTGAATAATTTAATGAATGTTTAATTTAAGACTAGTTTGATGATAGGTACGTACTATATTATTATAATAAATCCTGTTGTACAAATGAATTATAAAAAATGAATATAATTAATTATATTTATTGTTCATATATTTTTTAAAAATTATTTTGTTGTGGACTTCTCTCCTATCTTGAGTAGTAGGAAGCTCACTCCGGCCACAAGATTCGTGGGGAAGTTCACCCGGAGGTGGAAGCATTGATGCTTTGTACATGATTATATTTACCAAATGGCGTCTTTTCTATTAAGGTGTTTTTTTAAATTAGTCCTCAAAAATAATAATTACCAATATAGTCCTTTATAATTGAAATTTATTTTTTAAATAATTCTTTGTAAAGAACGCCTATACTTAATTTATGAGGATGACTTGCAATTTGACTGCAAGAAAGTTTAATAATTGTGCATCAATTTAGGTTCAGTTAAATACTTAAGAAATGAAAGAAAATTGTCAATAAATCAGTACCTAGGGTCCTTATATTTTTAGTCCCGATTTTTAAAATATACTTCATCAATCATATAAAACATTTCAAAGACGAAAAAAAGTGCCACAAAAATTTATAATTTTGATATTATTTTCTAATGTTACCCTTACTTAATAATAACGCAGAATATGATGCGTAGAATAGATGAGTCATAATTAGAAAATAATACTAAAATTACTCATTTTTAGGCTACGGGTTTTTTTTCATTTTTGAAAAATTTTATGAGATATAAGAAGTACTTCGTATAACAAATTAAACGTATCATATATATATATATATATATATATATATATATATATATAGATAAGTGTATGTTTAAAGTCTAAAATTCAACCTTATTGTTCATGGCCCCGTTTGGCATAGCGTTAGACTGTTAGAGATCAGTGTTAGTGTTTTCAAAAAGACTATCTGACGGTAGTATTTAACGTTATACATTGTTTTCAGAATCAATCTACACTATTAAAATTTTATCCAAAATGCATGATAACGCCAATAAAAAAAAGTGTTCCCTAACAAGTCACATGTTGCAAATATCTTATTGTCCAAATATGAGGGATTATTTCGTATAGAACTTTTTTGAAAAGCTAATAAAAACGCTAGCTATTATGGTGACGTCGCCACCATTGGATTTGGAAAAGCTTAATAATTTTGCGATATACAAATTGCTTGATTCCATTTCTCTTCTCTTCCACCATTCCGATCTCTCTTGTTTGCATTATAATCTGGCATACACATTTTAAAAAAAAATTACACCTTGTAATTTGTATAATAACTTTGACGACTAAACATTATACTACTACACGTATTATAAATGGGGGAGGTTCGGGTGACATTAGTGAGTAAACCCTCCAACCCATCCCGACCCAAACCGACCACCCCACCCCCTCCAATTTCACCCCACAAAATGCAGTTGACTTTGGAGTCAAATTTTGACTCCAAAGTCAACTGCATTTTGTGGGGTGCAATTGGAGGGGGTGGGATGGTCGGTTTGGTTCGGAGCGGGGTTAGGGGGTTTATTGGGGGTGTTTGGGTTGGTAGGAATCCTCAGTTTTCGAATGGAGCACCGCAGATACCTCGAGTCATCCTATGACATTGAAATTCAATGTCACTTGAAACATTTAAAAGGTTCAATAAATAAATGAGAACTTATAATATAGTTTAATTTATTACCTGAGGAGTGAAAATTAATCCAATATTTAACAGTCCCTTATAACTGTCGTCTTCAAGAGTAACATTATGTGGCACTGGTTTCATTTCTACGAATCCACTCTCGTTTCCCTCTGCTATAATACCCTTCAAATTTACGCTGAAATAATATTTTATAATTATTAATTATTTAAAATAACCCCACTTATTTCTTTATAAATGAAAGGTAAAAAAAAAATAAAGAGAAATGATTTTTCTTTTACATGGTTTTGCCTACAAATCCATTTGTGAAAATATCATCATGCATGATTCTTAGCTTTAGGTGGTAATATTTCTCCAAGTCTTTCATGGGTAATTCAAATGTAAATTTCTGGTTCCAGCAAATCTCCTTTGGATACCCTGCAGGATGCATGGCATTGTTTTTTTTACCACACCAATGAAACATAGTAAATAAAAAATAATCAATTTAACATGAAATAAAATTTAGGGAATTTTTTTAAATCTTAAAAAAAATCACCTCTGGAAGTTTTGCTTTTGTAGACTTGAGGTCCACATTCAAGAATGACATAGTAGTTTCCTTTCCCTATTATAAATGCCAACAAATAATATATACACATAAGTGATACTCCCTCCATCCCAATTTCTTTGCAATACTTCGAACGACGTGCAAAATATCATCTCTTTTAAAATTACTTTAATTTCAAATTGGTAAAGTAATAAAAAGTAAAAATTACACCATTCAAAAATATATGAAAAGTTCTACAAAACAAGATGCGACAAGAATATTTTATTTGATCAAATGTTCAACCAAAACGAGTAAACAAACAAAAGTTATCGAGAAGCCAGAATAGTAACTGTGGCATTCTTTCTGGGACGGAGGGAGTATATATTTCCTTCTAATTCCTTCTGATCTATTTTTTCCGTTTTGATTTGACATGTTTTTTAATCAAGAAAAAAAACATAGATTTGACTTTCCATTTTACCTTTGGTGGCATGGTAAATTGGAGAAAAGATATAAACAAATGGAGAAAGGTTAGATAATATGTTTAAAAATGAAGAGAATAATCTTTTCATTCAAGAAAAAATGAATAAGTATAATATAGGATCATAAATACACAAGAGGAAACCTAGTTATAAGCTGAAAAGAGTATACAATTTAAAAACCAAAATGAGAGTATTAGTACTCATTTTTCAAACTACAGGAGCACCAGAAATACTCCGTATTTGTTCTATTTATCAACGACACATATTCATAATTTTTTTTCTCGAAACAAGAATATATATGCATATATGTATAACCCCTTGGTTCCCATGACATTGGTTCCCAATGTCATGGGAACCTTGCCCTATGTATAAAATTAAAGCTCGGTTTAGAAACAAAATTTTCAATTGCCTTTAATTTAACGCATTAAATAATTTTTTGATGCTATAAATTAATTTTAAAAATACATAAATTTAATGTTATTGTTACCAATGTTGTGGCCGATGCCTTGAGCACTAGCAAGGAGCACTTCAAGGATGCCTCCTTTCATTTCCATCAATAAGCAAAAAATTATAATGCAATATATATTCACTTTCTTAATTAACTATTGTGCAGTTCCAATGGCTCAAATATATATATATGGGAGAAATATAATTAATGTGATTTTGTTTGATAATCGAACATCATGGAGCATATTGATAACCTACTGTACATAAATAAACGTTATATTTGCATTAAATTTTGTAATAAATTTCATTCTCAATGTATCTCTATGTCAGTTCTTCAAATTTTAATGCTAGTGAAAAAGTTTTAGTATGTAAATTGAAAATAGACAATTAATTTGAGAGAGAAGTACTAAAAAATTTCGTTAAAAGTTTTACTACTTTTGTCATTGAGTATTTGTCTTTTTTAATTTTTTTCAGTTAATCATTTTCAATATTAGACCTATAATTAAATAAAATATAAATTGTATATTAATTATATAAAATAATATGTTGAAATTATTTGATATAATAAATCTAATAAAATTATTTTAATATAAAAATCTAATATCATTTTCATTTAATTTGAGGTAAGTATTGCCGATTTTGATCAAAAAATCAAATGTGAATAACACTCAGGAACCAATGGAGTATAAAATAATTAAAGAGAGAAATATTTTATTTTATTAAACAAAAATGGTCTTTAAGTAAATCTTTTCTATTTTTTTTAAAATTTTTTAACAATAGACAAGAAGCAGCTGAACAACTCAAAAAGCCAATAATTAATCTCTGTTACAGTCACAGGTGATGAAATGTCGAGTGTAACTGTTCCGTCCTTGCAGTTATTCCAGAGCTTGACGCCGGGAACAATGGCTAGATTGGCCGCACCGGGGCGGTCCCCTTCACTTCCGTCTTCCTCTGGAGTCAATTCCACTCGCCATTCCGGACTCACAGCGAAGCTCAACTGCTGCTCGCGTCAATGTAGGGCCGATTCGATGAATTTGACTGCCGGAACTTGGGATCGGCCGCGCACCGGAGCTCCGGTCAGGGGCACAGGAGAGAAAATCGAGGATTATTTACTATGTGATGGAGAGGATACCGATGGTTCCGTTGACAAGGAGGTATTCATGATCTATTGTTCCTAATGTTTAAGGTTTTTCATTCAAGTGTTATATAGCTGTTTTTAGTGTTTTCCTAATGTAGCTTTTAGGATTAGCGTTTTAAAAGTGAATGTGAGCCATTAAAACATTATCCAAAACACTAGCTACAAACGTTGTTCTAAAATGAAGCTGTTATTGCATACTTAATTCCAACTCCATTGGGGCTTGGAAGACAAGATGTACACAACCTTACTCCTGCTAAAAACAGAGAGGATGCTTCCTTTAGACCCTTGATATATCGTTGAATTTACTGCCAAAACATCATAGAAAGTAAGAAGCAAGGGAAGTTTAATGTGTGATTTTGAATTAATACATTATTTATGTGAAGCTAAAAATGTCAAAAATGACTCTTATTAGCTCCACTGGCAATGGACACAGCATACTTAGAATACTGGATGGTTATTACAGATGTAACATAAAATTACTAGTATTGTGTGAATGAAAGATGCATTCTTTGCGGTGCCATTAGTGATAAATGAGATAAATACCCATAAGAAACAGGAGGATGGTTGCAATTACTATTTTTCTATCTCTGGTAGTAATTGTAAGTTCACTATATGTCACTTGAAAAAATGGTGCTACAAGCCTGCAAATCACTTCCTAGGTTTTGCTTGAATGACATTTTGATATGTAACTCAATGATAAATTTTCAAGTACTTGTTTACATTTGCGAGCCAGCTTATCCCTGAATGAAGATTGTATTCTCGTGTTGAATTTTGGAAGTCTTAAATATGTAACCTTAGGAGCTTCTGCAATTACTTCTTGAAGTTTCTATTCTATACCTTATTTATCCAAACGATACGTCTTATTTCAATCCCTCTAATTCACTCCGAAGTTCCTTGAAATCTTTTGTAGTTTCTTATTTGCGCTGAAGCCTAAGCCTGACTCTGTATTGATGGTCAATGATGGATTTAATGTACATCATAATATTTGTTCTCAAGAATCAAAATACGGATTAAAATATAATGCAGAAGTTTAATAGCTTTTGATACTTCCTTGTATCATTTTACTGATCTTTAAAAAGATATATAAATCACTGTCTGATATTTCCTGCGAAGAAGATATTGCCAACAATATGTTACTAGTAATATATTTTCCTTCTTGCAGGGTGATAATGCTTCACCAAAGGTTCCAGAACGAGACTTTACCGGCACCCCTTATGTTCCTGTGTATGTCATGTTACCCGTGAGTAGTGTGTTTGCCCTCTTCTCACACAGCCATCTATTCTCACCTTATTGACTAATGACTATATTCCCACACGCAGTAAACAACAACAACAACAACAAAAACCTAGTATAATCCCAATTCCGTTGGGATCTAGGGGGTCAAGACGTGTGCAGCTTACCCCTGCGAAATACAGAGAAACTGTTTCCGTTAGACCCTTGATGCATTGTTGCATTTACTACCCAAAACTTCATTGGAAGTAAGAAACAACGGAAGATTAATGTGTCACTGTGATTTGGTCCTTTATTGAAACTAAAAGTCTAAAACACTGTCCAGATTTCTACCCTTTTAGCTCCATTTCCATTGAACATTCTTCCTGCATGTATTGGACACCTATATACTTAGTAACTTTTCAAATTCTTTTGTTTCAACAGCTGGGTGTCATCGATATGCAATGTAGGCTTGTGGATCCTGACACTCTCATAGACTACCTGCGGATATTGAAATCAGTTAATGTTGATGGTGTTATGGTGGACTGCTGGTGGGGTATAGTAGAGGCATTGTCTCCACAACAATATAATTGGAATGGTTACAGAACACTTTTTCAAATTGTGCGTGACCTAAAGCTTAAACTACAGGCAAGTAACAGGTAACATAGGACTGGTAGGAGAAGTAAAATTCTTAGCATGTATTCTTGTATCTGAGTGGTTGTTTTTATTCTTTTTTATTTTTGTGGTTTCTCTTCAATTTCTAGCAACACAATGTTGAGCTGGTACCTACTTTATCTTGGAGATATATTTGCAGGTGGTTATGTCATTTCATGAATGTGGTGCAAATATAGGCGATGACGTTCACATTCCGCTTCCAGAGTGGGTCACAGAGATTGGGCAGAAAAATCCAGACATATTTTTTACAGATAGAGAGGGACGAAGAAACCATGAATGTCTCACTTGGGGAATTGACAAGGAGCGAGTTCTAAGAGGCCGAACTGCAGTTGAGGTACTAGATATTCAGTTCTTAAAAAAAGTCTTAAGTTCTAACTTCTAAGTCGATATTGTCATTATGGAGCAAACTATCGCTCCATAGTGCAAAGCTGTTTAGACTAAGTTTCATATTAGTTCTATTGTTTTACTTTTTGAACAAAAAGTATGACATTGGTTTCAGTAAGTTCCCAATGTGAATCTTACCAAATTTTCTTTAAATTTCTATTAACTGTCCGATTTGTAGTTGACATGGTACTTAGATGCACATTAATTTCTTTTTTCACGCCATGAGATATACGGAGTATATACTGCCTTGTGCACAATTTTAATCATTCTTGAAAAAATTGCTCACAAATGGTGTAGGTTTATTTTGACTACATGAGAAGCTTTCGAGTAGAGTTTGATGAGTTCTTCGAAGCTGGTGTCATATCTGAAATTGAAATTGGACTTGGGCCATGTGGGGAGTTGAGATTTCCTTCTTATCCAGCCAAACATGGTTGGAGGTATCCTGGTATTGGTGAATTCCAGGTTAGCTGTCTCTGAGTTCCATTTCAGATTGTCCAACCTATTTGAATAGTCTTGTTACGCTTGAAACCTTCTTGTTTTCTACTTCTGATGAAAAAATAGTCATATAAGCTTTACAAGTTATGGATGGTCACTTATACCCTTAATGCTTATTCCTAAGATTGCTTAAAAAATTAACTAAAATTGCACACCGCTTGGTTTTATAGGAATTTTAATTGAAAGTGAAATTGACTTTTGGACTCTTTCTTTGGGTCAAAAACCTTTATTGAAACAGGACTTATTTTGGGACAAGTTATCAATTGTTTTTTCCCTGCCCGATGCAGTGTTATGATAAGTACCTGATGAAGAGCCTGAAAAGAGCTGCAGATGTCAGGGGTCACACATTTTGGGGTAAGGGTCCTGATAATGCAGGTTCATATAACTCCAGCCCACATGAAACTGGGTTCTTTCGTGATGGAGGTGACTATGATAGCTACTACGGCAGATTCTTTCTGAAATGGTACAGTCAAGTTCTGATTGATCATGCTGACCGCGTTCTTTCCCTGGCAAATTTGGCCTTTGAAGACACTGCAATTGCTGCAAAGGTAACTGTTGTTTGAAGATTATGGTTAACCTTCTGTTTCAGTTGATCTGAAAAACTGGCTGAGGTGAATTATATGATTGTTGAGCAGTTATCAGGTATTCATTGGTGGTACAAGTCAGCTAGCCATGCAGCTGAATTGACTGCTGGGTTTTATAACCCGTGCAACCGTGATGGGTATGCTCCAATTGCATTGATGTTAAAGAAGCATGAAACTGCTTTGAATTTCACATGTGTTGAGTTGCGTACAATAAACCAGAATGAGGACTTTCCTGAAGCTTTGGCTGATCCTGAGGGGTTAGTTTGGCAGGTAATATTTGAACGCACCAGCCACCAGTTTGACATGCGTTGTTTTGTTTGGCTGTCTCTTACGTGATTGAAGTATTTTATCTATTTATGTCACAATTTTTCTCTCAAATAATATTCAAGCTCCAGTTAAAAGTTAACATGTGAATCATATTAATACTTAGAATGGAAGTAAAGGCATCACACTCATGTTCCATGGTTTGCATTTAATTTTAAGACAATCTTGTAATGGGACTTGAAGATATCAGTTATCTCTACTAATCGTCATTGTGTTATTTTCCATGCAAAAGAAAACCTTTGATGATGTTGGTTTTGAAATTTTATCTCAGTATTCCTTTGTAAGAAGGATGTGAGAGGAAAGCCATTTGGTGTACATTTTTTTAAATAGAAAACTCAAATCTCGATAAATCCAGCGAGACAGAGAGTATATTTATTTTGCATGAGTTGTGTTTATAAGCTTTATACAATTAATTGAAACTATATGTTTCATGCCACAAACCCAACTAAGTTTTTCCCATTTAATTTTCAGTATTATTGGGTTGCTCTTAGTTTTCATTGTTATCAAATTTAAGACAATCGATTGGCACTACATGATTTCATGCCACTGACTCAAGAAGGGGTAAGGTCTGAGCACCCGCCCCCCCCGGACCCTGCTTCTACGAAACTCCACTGGGTTGTTGTTGACTTCACCAATTGGGACTAAAATGATTATTATGTGTTCAGTTTTTCACTTTGAGTATTTTCAGGTGCTAAATTCTGCATGGGATGTAAACATTCCAGTTGCTAGTGAGAATGCACTTCCTTCCTATGATAAAGAAGGTTATAACAAGATTCTAGCAAATGCAAAGCCCTGGAATGATCCAGATGGAAGACACTTATCGGCTTTTACATACCTCAGGCTAAGCTCTGTTCTCATGGAGAACCACAATTTCCTTGAGTTTGAGAGGTTTTTAAAAAGAATGCATGGTAATTGTTTTTCTTTTCCGTTTAAAAAACTTCCATGACTTTTGGCATTCTATTCACTTTTTTAAAATTTCTCATTCCATAAGAATATACCGGTACATAATAATGCTCTTAGATTAATCGTCATTGTGATGCAGGGGAACCATTGTCCAATTAGAATTTGTTTGGGAAGGAAGATTTTAGAGTAGACCCTACCTGGTAAACTGAGCTTGAAGATAACAGTCATCTGAGATTGAAGATATGCAACAATGGGCTAAGTATGAAGAGAGCATTAGCCCTCTGTTTGGTTATATACCCTATGTTTGTAGATAACAGGGGAGAAAAAAAACAAAAAATGTTTGAGGAATTAAAGCTTGATTCTTGTTGTTGTTTTGTGTGTGTGTTTGGGATAAAGGTCTTGTTGCTTGGTATTTTTTTGGCTATGGCTCATCAGGCACATAGCAAGGTATGGAACACTTTGTATGATAATTTGTCAAGAGGATTGTGTATTTGCAGCAAAAGCTGCATTTTAGATGCCATTTTCATAGTGAAGAGATTCTAAAGAATGAGGAGATGCAATCCCTATTCCTAATTGTCTATCATGTTGGTTAGTAAATAATTGAAAAGAAACACTTGAAAGAACTTATATATACAGTTTCAAGAGTATTGCATAATAAACTTTAACAAATAAATAAATATTGTACTAACTAATATATAATTAATTAATTATACACACACACACACACATATATATATTGTACATTCATTACATCCGTCTATATCATAATTTTGAGTGATGCTCCCGGCCCCAATATTTAATCTTTTTTTGAAGGATTAAATCTTAGCTTTTGAATCTTACATATTACTTCGGTTCAAGACTATTTGTCAAATTTTAATTATTTGAAGGAGTAATTATTTAAAAAAAGTATTACTTGAGGAGAAAATGACATCAAACAAATGTTGTAAGTTTGATGGTTATGCATTTTAAATAAAAGTATTTTTAGAAAATAAATATGAAAATGTATTTTTTAGGGAATGCGAAGACTCATTAGAAATACAATATATATGGTCCAACATGATGTATTATATTTTTCGTAAATGACGATTACTCGTTTACGAGTTAGGGAGTACTAAGTACTCATTTGACATATTTTTTTATATTAGTTGTACATCCATCTTTATTTTGATGAAGTTTTTATGATATTGAAATTCCATGTAATGAAATACCTCATTCGTAAAATTGATGGTTCCTATCTCCAACATTCTGGTAAATCCTCCCATCCCGTCCCGACTCAAACACATCCCTACCCCCTTCCATTTTAGCCCACAAGTTAATTTTGACTCCAAACTCAAAATTAAATTGTGGGATGTAATTGAAGAAGGTTGAGGTGTGTTCGGATCGGGGCGGGGTGGGGATTTATTGGAGGTTGAAGGTTAGAACTTAGAACCGTCAATTATAAGGTAAGTAGGTAACTGGGTATGGAAGTGCCCTGATCATCTTTATTTTAGGGGTCATGCTAGGGGTACACCAAAGGTGTACCCCATTTGTACACCACCCCTTCAATAACCACTCATTTATTTTTGATTTTTATTTACTTATTTTTTTTTTAATTTTCTTGTCTAATTGAGTGGTAATGGAGGGGGTGGGGGACAAATGGGGTACACCTTGCATTTTCCTTATTTTAGAAAGAGGTTTGGGGCCTTAAACAGATTTTATCCGTTGGGTAGTTCTTAGATTCTATGCAAAGAAATATCCGTAGTACTCCCCCCCCTGGGTAGTTCCACAAATCTTCTCAGCTTCTTGATCGATTTCACGATTTCTGGGAAGACAAGACGTCCGGTCAACGGCGGAAAATACAGTCCTAACTGAAAAAAGTTCCGACCTTTAACATTCTACCACTCTAAAATTCCACACAAAAAGAGATCGAGGAGAAAAAAAAACTACTCGGCTCTGGGTTTATATTGCTCATTCTGGATTTATTATTATTCATTAGGACTGTGATTTTTTTTCTTGAAAAGCTCGAAGATGGGAATCGAATCTGGTGAATTTTACTCTTTAATTTCTCCCCCTAACATGTTTTATAAAAACCAATTTTTTCTTAAAGATTTTATTTTTATTTTGTACTACTTAATATTTCTGGCTGAATTTTGCAGTAGCGGAATTTTTGAGCGGTGTGCCGTTGCTGCAGAGATTGCCCAGGTCTTCAGTCCAGAGAATTGCACAGCTAGTTGAAGTCAAGAATTATGGTAAATTTTTCATAAAATTACTCCGGGCACCCTCAATTTTCTAGAAATAACTCACAGTTCGCACATTATCTGAAATATACTTCGGGGTACCCTCGATTTTCATTGTTTGGCATACCTTCATTCTGCCCATCAAAACTTATTTTGTTCATTCCTATATAAGATAAGGGCGATTATGTCCTACGCGAAGGAGAAGCTGGGGATGGAATTTACTTCATATGGGATGGGGAGGTAATTATTCATTCATACTCATTTATTCATCGAAGGCGATATATCCCAATAGGCATAATAGTTAGTGAAATGTGAATGGTGCATGTTTAAATACAAACTGCTCTTCCTTTCTGCAGGCTGAAGTCTCTGGCCACGTCGAGGAAGACAACCGTACTGAATATCTGTTAAAGCAATATGATTATTTTGGTTACGGTGCGATGCGTCTCATTGTTTGTACGTTTTTATCCGCTCTTTAATTTTAAGTGACATCTATAGATGAACGTGCGTGCAGGCCTCGCATCATCGGCTCAGCATGCTGCTGTAATTGCACTCACTAAAGTACTCCCCTTTCTTGGAGTAGCATTTATCTCATCCGTTTCTGTTTTTGTGGTTTCAAAGTTGTTTTAAGTTATTGTGTTTTTTCAATGGCAGCTAACCTGCTTGGTGCTGCGCCATGAACACTGTAATCTGCTTCAACCTAAATCGATATGGAATGCAGACAAAGCAGTGGACAAATGCCCCCTAGTGGAGCACATATTGCATTTGGTACCGTTAGAAGTATGTGTTTGCCCCTGAGATTAAACCGCGTTCTCTTATATTTACTTTTGTTTTTGTTATGCCTTAAAAGTTATCTCTTGCTGTCCATTTATTTTTTAGAAATGGCAATTATCAAACTTTTTTTTCAAAGAACAATTTCAGAAAAAAAAACATCAATAAAAAACCCTTCAAGCCGGGGGTGTCATGGAAACAACCTCCCCTTCAAAGTAGGGGTAAGGTTTGTGTACACGCACTTCCCACACCCTACTTTTCGTGTGATTTTACTGGGCTTGTTGTTTTTACAATGTTGACTTGAACAATCCAAAAATCTTTTCTCCTTTTCCAAGGTTCAATTATAAAAAAATCATGGCTCTCAAGAACGAACGGGTAAATTTTTTAAAGAATTGTTGCCAAAAATATTTAAAAAACATCTATGCACAGACATCTATAACTCCCTCCCACCAAAAAATAACAACAAACCCATTAGAATTCCCCAAAAGGGAGGTCCGGGAGGGTGTATCTAAGCAGACCTTACCCATATCACTCCTACCAAAATTTCGAAATTTGAAGTTTTTTGTTTTGTTTTTTTGGTTTTGGTTCTAAACTTACCTACATTTTCTTGTAGGTGAATATATTCCAAGGTGTTACACTGCCTGATGCTCCAAAATTTGGCAAAGTATTCGGAGGCCAATTTATGGGGCAGGTAAAGGAGAACCTTTTTATAAATTTTTTTGTTGTGATTTTTTAAAATTTAGTGAAAATATGCAATAGACTTCTGGTCCAGGCATTAGCAGCAGCCACAAAAACTGTTAATTGTCTCAAGATTGTTCATAGCATTCATGCCCACTTCCTTCTCGGTGGGGATGTTGATAGTAAGCTCCTTACTTTCGTGACTTTTATAATACTTTGTAACATTTCCATTGATTTTTGTTTATCTTTCAATACTATGCATTTGAGCGAGGTGTGCTTTAGCACACAAATATTGATTTTTCATGAACAATCACATAAAATGTACACAATAGGCATATATCTTGAGCGAAAGATAGAATAACAAGCATAGTAAAATCCCACAAAAAGTAGGGTCGGGGGGTACAAATAGTAGCATGATCAAAGTATGAGCTGATGAGCACAATGAGACGTATCATACATACCGACACTAACAATAACATTCAGAGCACACATGGACTAGTTACGGACTAGGGTAAAAACACCAGCAAAGACTACATACTAAGGCCCAAAGGTCTACCCAACTACTTTAATCCTAGACCTCTCGTTGTTATTTTTTAAAGTCATATCCTTTGTAAGATCCTGAAGACGTAAGTCCTATATAATCACACCCTCCAAACTCTTCTTAGGTCTATCTATCCCTACTCTCTCTCACCCACTACTGCAAGCCTCTCGCATTTAAAAGTTTCGTTACTCTTGGTTTTTCTAGTTCCAATAATATATGAAGTACATCGTGTACGTGATGGGAAGAGCTTCTCAACAAGGAGGGTAGATGCAATACAGAAAGGGAATGTTGTATTTACTTTAGTTGCTTCATTTCAGGTGATCACTCAATGTTTAACATTATTAGTTAATTATGAAGTATTACAGAGTATTATTACTGTTAGGAAAAATTCATGTGCATATTCTCATGAATTTGAGATTTACACGACTATTCCAAGATTGCTAAACTATCACCAACATCCCATAATACTATTAAAGAATTATTACTTTACATGAATCCTCCAAATTGTGAGGCATATCTGTGATCAAAATGCAATCTTGGAGTACTATTCTGAAAATATTGAATTTTTGAGAGCGTTGATGATACTTATTCAATCTTGGAGTGTTTGTGATACTTATTATATCATTATCATTAAATCATTATTATCATCATTATTATTAATTGTAATATCTGTGATGTCAAGTACATTGCCTTGTTATAAGCTACGGGGGTATATATTATTCATAACATGGGTGGAAATAATTTGGCAGAAAGAAGAAGAGGGATTTGACCACCAGGATGCATCAATGCCTATAGTGCTGGATCCAGAAAAGGTACAATGTAATCACAACATCTTTCCGTCCAGTTTTCATTTTGATGCAACTTGCTTATTCAAAATTGTTATTGCAGCTTCTGTCAATGGAAGAGATACGTGAAAGGCGGCTCACTGATCCTCGTCTTCCCAGGTTTTTGGCCATACCCATGACCTTGTCCAGTACACTCTGCCTTCCAACCCTCTCGGACCCTACTTTTGTGAGACTGTGTGTTGTTATTGTTGTTGTATTCACTTGATTCCTTATAAGCATTGAAAATTTTGCAGAACCTATAGGAACATTTTAGCTACTGTAGAATTTGTCCCATGGCCAATAGAGATAAGGTTCTGTGATCCTAGTACAGGAACCAGCCAGACCAAGAGCCCTCCAAGGTCAGCTTCACTGTCTCTAGTTGTTGAATGTATTTTAGTTGAGGCATAAAATGAAGAGAAAAAAATCATGCCAATACTCTTAGAAATTTGATAATTTACAAGAATATTCCAAGATTACATAATTATTACTGTTGCTTCCAGAAATTCAATATCGTTACAATATGCAATGTTGGAGTATTATTGTAAAAGTATAGTATTGACATGAATTTATACTAAAATGAAATATCATGATGAACTCGTGCATTTTGTCCCCATTGTGGAAGCAGTTTGAGGTTCTGGTTCAGAGCAAAGGGAAATCTTTCTGATGATCAAGCTTTGCACCGGTACCAACAACATTTCTTTACGTATCTAATAATCTAATTTGGGAATTGATATTTTCATTCCCAAACTTTGATACTGCCACAACTCCGCATTTCTAAAAATTTATCCCTTATAGATGTGTTGTGGCATATGCGTCGGATCTTATCTTTGCTTCTGTAAGTAATAATCCTCATCGCAAGGCAGGGCTGAAGATTGCGACTCTTAGTCTCGATCACTCGTAAGTGTCTTCAAGCTACACTCGTACGTCTCTTGCTTTGATTTCATGGACCCCATTGCTCCCTTCATCCCAAAATGACACGCTTGTTAAGAAAAGTGAAATTATAAACGGGACTTTTTTTTGGTACAAAAATAAAATTTTAGTATGATTCATGTTTACCTGCTCTCTATTTCAGGATGTGGTTTCACAGGCCAATTCGGGCTGACGACTGGATACTGTTTGTGGTGAGCAAGCAAAGATTTACCCAACACAGCAAATATTTGTGTAAATTGGCTAATCACATTTCCATTCTTTCTCTAAATTGCTTTGTAAATTTGGTCCAGATTGGGAGTCCATCTGCACATAATGCTCGCGGTTTTGTTTCTGGGCAAATGTTTGACCGGAACGGAACGGTAAACAGCAAGACTTTCCAGATTAACCTTGTGATGATAATGATGATGATTTTGATTATCATTAGCCCAATATTGATTTATTGATTTTGTTCAAAATGTGGTAATTTTTCAGCTTGTGGTGTCACTCACCCAAGAGGCGTTGCAGCGAGCCGTCCTGCCTACACGTAAGCCGATCGGGCAGTCGAAACTCTAACTCATATAAATGAAGTCTTTGGTCTTGTTCCATTCAACATTTTTTTGGTCTTGGCAGAATCTTGAAATGAATTGATTCTCAGAAACAATTTGCATCTTGTTTTGGTATAACATATACTCCGGTATATGTTTAGGGTAAAAAAAGTGGTAGATTAATTCAGGAAATGGAAAACAAAGTCCGGGTTGTATCAAAATTTTCAAATAATTTTTATTTACCCTAAATATCCCCCCATTGATGAGTATTTGGGTTGTGACTGAACTCTAGTTAAATATCCTTCGGGCTCATCTTCCCTAGTCCTTTTCGTGGATCATCAAATCAATTCTGTTTATGAAGGTTCCGTCTCACATCTAGTAGGCTCGGACCCCAGTTTCTATGAACTCACATTTGGAATTCATTATTAAACTCGAGAATATATTTCAGAGCATTAGAAATCTGTCTACTTTAAAATGGATTGACAACCTTAAACTTATTTCCCTTATGTCTTCCCTCTTATCTTCGTGTGGATGAGACATTTATGGAAACTGGGGTTTTAAAATTTTATGGTGGTAGAGTGTTTGTTAAGATACCTATTACACCTAATGTATTAAAGACCATATTCGAGCTACTTTTGAGCACTTAAAACGTTGAAATTTTATGACTGAATAAATAATACGAGGGAAAACAAAAGGCAAAAATAAATAAAACTATTTTTAGAAAATTACTCCCTTCGTCCCAAATTATTTGCAACGTTTATTTTTTCAGCAGTCGCGGGAACTTTTATTTATTTCTACGTTTTCATTGGTTATTTGATAAAATAAAATATTCTTGACACTTTTTATTTCGAAGAACTTTTCATGTATTTTTTGACATGTAAATTTTATTTTTTATTTCTATACGAATATGTAAATAAAATAAATTGAAAAAACTTGATATTTTGCAAAGAGGAGTTCCAAGACGTTAGAAACAGAATGTTGGGTTTGGCGTCTCTAATTCCATGCCAAAAGATACTGAGGAGCTCTAAAAAATAAAAATTCCTCAGTTTCTTGATCGTTTTCACAATTCTGAAAAGTGATCAATCCGTCGGGAGGCAAGAAGTCCGGTCAACGGCGGAAATTCCACGCCAACGGAAAAAAGATCCGACCTTTGGTATTCTAAAGTTCTACACAAAAAGAGATAGAAGACCAGACTTACAGTAAGAGAGCCACTCTCTCTGGGTTTATATTGCTCATTCTGGATTGATTCTTATTTATTACTCATTAGCACTGTAATTTTTTCTTCTTATATTACTGGAAAAGCTCGAAAATGGGAATCGATTCTGGTGGATTTTACACTTTTATATATCCCCCAGTTTTAAAAAATTGATTCTTTCTTAAAGTTTTTTGTTTTGTTTTTTTAATATGGTGTCTGGATTTTGCAGTAGCGGAATTCTTGAGCTGTGTACCTTTGCTACAGAAATTGCCCAGAAATTCTGTCCAGAAAATCGCACAGCTAGTTGAAGTCAAGAATTATGGTAAATTTTTACTTCCCCTCTGTATATTTCTTGGTTTTTACCATTTTGTATATGTTCCATTATATTTGTATCATGTCACATTTGTGTGGTTCATATTCATATTTACTTTTTAGCATCAATATGAATCATAGATTCTCAATTTTTTAAATTTTCATATCACCCCTCATTCGTGTAATATTTGTGTGGTTCATATTCATATTTACATCCTCTTTCTGAGCTTTGGTAGATTATAGTAATGTCTTTGATCAGCAAGGGAATTGTTCTGCACTCTACAAGAATTTTTTTACCCCACATCCCTACTGTTTTAAGATTTTATTGGGTTGTTGTTGTTGTACTCATAGTGGATGTATGATATTCTTGTGCCTACGGTTGGATGATAGAATAATCTTTACTAAGTTATGGTTAAGATGATTTTGCTTCTTTCTCATGTGTTTCTGTTTATGCAAAGATGATTTTCTTTTATTGGTTATTTTTTCATTTTTTTAAATGGTTGACATTAGAGAATCTTTATTTCTTTGGCATATCTTCAATGTGTCCATTAAATCTTCTTTTGTATAATCTATATAAGATAGGGGTGATTATGTTCTGCGCGAAGGGGAAGCCGGGGATGGAATTCACTTCATTTGGGACGGTGTGGTAATTATTCCTTCATACCGGATTACTCCCTGCGATCACATTTAACCGTCCATTATGACTTTCGTGATATATCAAAACTTGATTGAATATCGAGATACCTCATATCCACATTCATTTGACTTTTGATGTATCATGAAGGTCATAATAGTCAGCTAATGTGAATGTTGAGATTCACTTTCAAGTTTCAATGGTGTGTGGACACAAACTGCACTCTCTTTTTGCAGGCTGAAGTCTCCGGCCATGTCGAGGAAGACAACCCTACAAAATATCAATTAAAAAAATATGATTATTTTGGTCACGGTGCGATGCATCTAATTGTTCTTGCATTTTTATTTGCTTCCCTTCAATTTTTAATGACATCTATAGATGCATCTGCAGGCCTCACATCATCTAGCCAGCATGCCGGTGTGGTCGCTCTCACTAAAGTACTTACCTTTCTGGGAGTAACGTTTTTATCATCCAAATCCGTATTTGCGGTTTCTGAGTCATAATAAGTTGCTGTGTTTTTTTCTATGGTGTAGCTAACCTGCTTGTTGCTGCGCCATGAACATTGTAACCTGCTACAACCCATATCAATATGGAATGCAGACAAAGCAGTGGAGAAATGCTCCCTAGTGGAGCACATTATGCATTTGGAACCATTAGAAGTACGTATTTGGCTCTTAGATTAACCGTGTTCTCTTATACTCCCTCCTTCCCTAAAAGAAGCTCTTGTTTACCTGTTCACGGAGTTTAAGAAAATGTGAAATTGTATGGTGGAAGTTTATGTGGAGAAGAGAGAAATAACATGAACCGCTCATTTCTTTCCCTAAATGGAATGAGACAAACTGAAAAAGTAAAGCAAGATGTTCTTTTAGGGAGAGGAAGTTTTTTATTTTGTTTTCCATACACCAAATTTATAACTTTTTTTCTGCTGTCCATTTGTTTTATTAGAATTGACAATTATCAAACTTGTTTTTTGGCAATCCCAAAAGCTTTTCCCCTTTAAACTTTCAAGATTCATTTATTGTTGTTGTTCTGGTTTCTAAACTTGCATGTTTTCTTGAAGGTGGATATTTTCCAAGGGATTACGTTGCCTGATGCTCCAAAATTTGGCAAAGTATTTGGAGGCCAATTTGTAGGACAGGTAAAGGAGGAACTTTTTTATAAATATAGTTTTTGTTGGAATCTTTTAATTTTTAGTGAAAGATTGCAATTCACTATATATGCAGGCATTAGCAGCAGCCACAAAAACTGTCAATTGTCTCAAGATTGTTCATAGCATTCATGCCCACTTCCATCTCGGTGGGGATGTTGATAGTATGCTCCTTACCCACTTCTAGTGATTCTTATGATTGCATTTCCATTGGTTTTAGTTTATCTTTCTTCATTATGCTTTTCAAAGAGGTTTGCTTCAGCTCACAAATATTGATTCTTCAAGAATGTTACACAGTTGTGTACACTATTAGAAAAGAATGTTACACAGTTGTGTAAATATTGATTCTTCAGACATATATGTTATGTCAAAATTAGAAAAGAATTAAAATTAAATTTTCAAGTTTGTATAATGTGTACTTTTATCTAAAATAATCATTTCTCTTGATTGTTCTAGTACCAATAATGTATCAAGTACATCGTGTGCGTGATGGGAAGAGCTTTGCAACAAGGAGGGTAGATGCAATCCAGAAACAGAAGGTTGTATTTACTTTAGTTGCTTCGTTTCAGGTAATGAATCAATGCTTGACATTATAAATTTATTATCATTATTATTATGGAAAATCTAAGTCAATGTTACCATGATTTTGAGATTTTACATGAATATTCCAAGATTGCATAATTATCACCGACGCTTCCAGAAATCCAATATTTTTACAATAATACACACTTGGGGTATTTGTGATCAAAATGCAATCTTGGTGTATTATTGTGAAAAAATATAATTTCAAGAGCTTGTGATAAGCTACATATTATTCATATCTCGGGTGGAAATATTTTGGTAGAAAGACGAAGAGGGATTTGACCACCAGGATGCATTAATGCCTATAGTGCCGGATCCAGAAACGGTACAATGTGATCGCGAAATATTTCCATCCAGTTTTCATTTTCTATGCAACTTGTTTGATCCAAAATTTGTTATTGCAGCTTCTGTCATTGGAAGAGTTACGTGAAAGGCGGCTCACTGATCCTCGTCTTCCCGGGTTATTGGCTGAACTTACCTCTTTTAGCCCTTGTTTTAGACTCCTTTCCTCCCATAAAGTTCTTTATTGTTTGACTTTTTTTGGTCAAATTTTATAAACTTTGACCATAAATTTTGGAAAGAATATATTTAGTTATAATGTAAATTTTAATATAATAAAATTTTATACATTTAATCATTAAAATTATACTCTATTTTATTTATGGTGAAAATGTAAAAAAATGGTTTGCATATGCATATACCCTCCTCAGGCTCTACTTAGGATTCTACTGGGTTTGTTTGTTGGTGTATTCACTTGATTTGATTCCCCAAGAATTGAATTTCTTGCAGGCCCTATAGGAACACTTTAGCTACTGCTGAATTTGTTCCATGGCCAATAGAGATAAGGTTTTGTGATCCTAATGTAACCAGCCAGACTAAGAGCCCTCCAAGGTCAGCTTCATTGTTTTTTATAGTTATTGAATGTGTTTTGTTTGAGGCATAAAATGAAGGAAAAACTCATGCCCAAACTCCCATAAATTTGATATTTTACAAGCACATTCCAAGATTACATAATTATTACCAATGCTCCAAAAAATTCAATATTTTTACAATAATACTCCAATAAAATTTATAGTTTTCATCGATCTATCCCCAATTTTTGAGGCATACTTGTGATCAATATGCACTATGCAATCTTATGGTATTATTGACACAAATATTGAAATTCTGGGGGTGTGGGTTGACATGAGTTTTCCTAAAATGAAATATCATGATGAACTTGTGTGTTTTGGGGCTTTTCTCCATTCTGGATGCAGTTTGAGGTTCTGGTTTAGAGCAAAGGGAAATCTTTCTGATGATCAAGCTTTGCACCGGTATTTTAACAACCATATTTCTTTGCATTTATTCAATTTGGGATTGGATATTTTCACTCCCAAACATGACATTACCACTCCAATACTCCATGTTTATAGAACTGTGTCCCTTATAGATGTGTTGTGGCATTTGCGTCGGATCTTATCTTTGGTGAAGTAGGCAATAATCCTCATCGCAAGAGAAGGCTGAATATTGCGACTATTAGCCTCGATCACGCGTAAGTGGTTTGCAAACTACACTAACTTGTCTCTTGCTTTGATTCTGTGGACCCCAATAACGACCCGTTTCTTGAGAAAAGTGAAATTACAAACGGAATGTTAGTTTGAGACAAAATAAAATACGGGTATGATTTCGTGTTGACTTGGTCTGTTTCAGGATGTGGTTTCACAGGCCTCTTCGGGCTGATGACTGGATATTGTTCGTGGTGAGCAAGCAAAGATTTGTTTAATACAGAAACATTTTCTCTTCATTTGTCTCTAAATTGTTGTGTGAATTTGTTTCCAGATTGGGAGTCCATCGGCATGCAATGCGCGCAGTTTTGTTTCTGGGCAAATGTATGATCGGACAGGAACGGTAAAACTTCCAAAACTATCAAGTTAGATGGTGATTATGATTATGTTTATTTATCTAATTAAATTTCATTTTGTTTTTCTACGAAATATGGTAAATGACAGCTTGTGGTGTCACTCACGCAAGAGGCGTTGCAGCGAGTGGTCCCGCCTGCTCAAAAGCCGATCGGACAGTCAAATCTCTAACTCATATCAATGGAAGTATTTGGGGTCTCATTCCATCCAAATCTCCAACTCAAAAATCATATAATGTGTACTTTCTTCTCTTGCCTTTGATTTTTAGACTGCATATTATCGTTTGGAGTGATTTGGTTTTCTTGAAGACATATTACTATGGTGAAAGCAGACTGATTTTCCTTTTTTTTAAAATAGAGTTATTCTCGTTGTTTCCAATGCTTTTATTATGGGTGATATATTAACCTTTTCACATTAACAAAATAATAAAAAAATGAAGTGAATATGTACATTTGAGTATTATAAAAATGCCTATATCACTCTTAAGAAAGAGTGTTTCTATAGTGCACCTTGGATGCATATCATTTTTGTAGACATTCTCACTTTAATTTTTTTAAAATGAATGCTTATCTAAATACTAAAAAATGTTTAGTTTGCTTATATGTGGGCACATGATGGACTTTAAGTCTACCATTGAATTTGCCATTAAGAAAACCTATGAATCTTAGGTGCATCTAAAACGTGTGCAATCTTAGGGACGGAGGGAGTACAAGGAAAACTAAGGGCATACTTTATATACTTCCCGTGTGAAATCTGTTTATAGTACATCTATGTTCATATAATTAATCTACAATCTTTTCTTCTTTATTTACAGTATAGTTCAGTTAAGAGAGTCTGAGCATCCATTTCTTGACGTAAAATGTGCCTTTCGTTTGGCACTGATGTTTTCTTGAATTGCTTTCTCGTTAGCCATGGCTTGGCGGATGCTTTCGTGAAGTGCATTGCACAGCTCATCAAGTGCAAGCATTGGAAATGGCTCTTCTATGAGAACACCAACCTATTCAAAATTTTAGCAAGGAATTAGATGATACCCTTCTGATTGGTTATTCAAAAGAACACAATTTTCAGGTGGCCAATGGTTCTTGCTAAGGTACCAGTTATAGAATTCAATTTCATGTCCACCTAACATACATTCTAAGAATCCTTTTGTTTTTTGGTGTTTGGTGAAAGTCTAAACAAGATTCAAATTCGATATATCTCCATATCGCAAGATTCTATCTAGTTTTTTCCAACTCATTTCAGTGTTTTCCATCTTCTCCCAATTTTTTCCAACTTGCAACCCTGTGTTTACAACCCAAGCGAATAGAGCCTAAATGGGGGTGTTTTGATATTTTTCTAATTATGGGTGATATCAATCCAGAGGTTTTGATATCCCCCACAATCGTAGGCAACCTATTGCCGCTGGCCACCACCACCGCCTGTCACTAACAACCGTTTCCCCAAACACTTTCATTGTGGTAGCAAAGGAAGAAGAAGAAGAAGAAGAAGAAAGGAAGGCAAAACAAACCTCTTCAATGCAAAATAGAGAAGCGGAACTGATGAAAGTAGCAGGGATCACCATCCAGTGGCACTCATCCCATATTATAATGGGGAGCGTGAGATGCCAAAGGACCAAAAACCTTGATGTTAGCCGTGTGTACGACAGCGGGATGGGAATGCTGACAAGCTGCTCGCACGCGCCAAGGCTTTCGTGGAAACATGAGATCTTTGATTCCTACATATTGATCCCCCAAACAAATAACGAAGTTAGAAAACATTTAAATTTAGGGAATCTAGAGCTTGTTCTCTTCAACTTATTCTCCTTGCTTGTTACCTTTCTTCATTGGAATCAGATCTGAAACAACTTTAAATATAACTACTATCAGATCAGAACTTAATCGAAGAAGATCAGAACCAATCCGATAAGTTGAAGAAAACAAGCCCTTACCGTGTCTGGTGTGCTTGTAAAACAAAACAAAACACAACAGCAAAACCAATAAAACTTCATTAAAAGTAGAGACTAGTGAGGATTATTTCCAAAAGACACAGGATACACATGAGAATTACCAGTAGCTGAAGCTTTGTTTCCTCTATAGTGAGAGAACGAATGCAATGTGATATAAACTCAATGATGCAGCGTGGTGGATGCTTTGAACCCAGAACTATAGCCAGATCATCAGCTTCAAGCAAGTTTTTTAGGTCACTTTCTATATCCGAGCCATACACTAAATGGCACTGCATTGAAGAAAAAAAAGGATCTTATAACTATGTGTGATGATTTCCAATATTTGTACTTAAATAAAACCAAAAATCTCTTCACTTGAACTTCTCCCTTGGCTTGTGGTAGAAAGCTCACTTAATGGAGAAGTTCACCCAAGTTTGAACCCTAGCAGAGGTAGAGGCATTGGCTCTTTGTGCGTCATTAGAAACATGGTCATATTCTAGTTTGCAGTTATCAAATTATAAATTCCAAACTACAGTTAAAACTAAGGCGAAAAAAAAACAAAAACAAACCTTAAGAGCAACTGGAAAAACCATTATATACTGTAAGAGTGATTTCCTAAGCAATGCATCACTCTGACAATCAACAACAGCCATCACTTGTGTTGCCATGTTGTTTGCCCCTGCAATCACATTACTCCACGCTTTCCGGCCCTCCTCTAGCCTCGAGTAGGAGGCCTCAGTCCGGAACACCAGAAGAAGCGCCAGCGCGGGGGCCGTCAACTGGTATGGCAGAGAAGAGGCCCTCAGCACCGGGAAAAACTCAGGCGGCAGCCAATTCAGATCTACCGCGGAGTTGTAGGCCGCGACCGCGGCGGCGACGGAGGTGAGCGCGGTCACCGGAGGGACCAGCGAGAGGATCACCCTCGAGCTCAGGACGGTGGAGAGATGCCTGAGGTGCCTCAGGGAGCTCCGATGCAGCACCCAGTCGCCGTGCTTGTAGAGGCGCCGCTTCTGATGCATCCGGGTCTCTTTGATCGCGTCGGCCCAGTCGGGCACTCTCCGGAGGATCCGCGGGAGGTTCGGGTTCTGGGATGAACAGAGGACTCTGAAGCAGGGCTTTGTGGGAAGGACGCGGGAAATTTGTTGGATGGGGAATGGTGGTGATGGGAGAAGAGGGGTTTGACATGGAAGGAAATTAGGGTTAGGGTTTGTGGAAGGATTGGAGGGAAGAACGGTCATGAGGACGTTGGGACAGAGGGATTGAAGAAGAAATGGGAATTACTGCGTCACAAATCTTTGATCCATAGAGAAGACGAAGATATCTCCATCACACCAAACTCTACTCAAAACATTTTGATTAAAGTAGTAAAATAAAGAGGATAATCTTTTGTTGACTTTCCAAAATACCTTTAATGTGATGGATAAATTATTAAGAAAAAAATATGATATGATACATAGAATATGAAAAAATGAAGGGTATTAAAAGTAGTTTTTTAATAGAAAATGGACATACTTTAAAGAACATCACAAATTCACTAATTTACCTACCATCCATTACTTGATACTCTACTCAAATCATAATATATTAATTTTTTCTCTAATTTTATAGTTTATACTTCTTCATCTAAAAATGTAAGTAATATTATGCTAAATGAAGTAATTTTTTAAATTTTTTCAATCTGTTTTATTTAAAGAATGGTCTAAAAATACATAGTAAAAAATAAAATTTAAATATTTTAAAACTACATAAAAAATTCTACAAAAGAAGTGATGATAAGAATATTTTATTTTATGAAATAATTAATGAAAATATGAAAATAAATGAAATTTTTTATGATTTTTAAATAGTGAAATGTTGTTTACATTTTAGGACGAATGGCGCATATATTTAAAAAACGCATTGGACTATATGAAAAATGCATAAATATATAAACACAACTAATTGAAAAATGCTGCAAAAAAAAGAAACAATGAAAAAACAGCGGGTTCCCATGATATTGGAATCTCATGTTATGAGATGATCTGGGGGTACTCCGATGTCCTATTTGTGAAATTGACGGCTCTTAATCTCCCTGGTAAACTCTCTACCCCGCCCCGACCCGGATATCCCCCACACCCCTTCAACTGGACCCCACAAGTTAATTTTGACTTTGGACTCAAATTTGAACTCCAAAGTCAAAATTAACTTCTAGGGTGCAACTGAAGAGGGTGAGAGTGTGTTCAGATCAGGGCAGTGTGGGGGGTTTATCTACGCTAGGAACCGTCAATTTTATGAATGGGACACCGAAGCCTCCTGGGTCATCTCATGACACTGCATGTCATGCAAAGTGTCCCAAAGCAAAAAATGCAGTAACACTATTGTTAAACGCATATTTGCATCGGCGAAGATGAGAGAGGGAAGAGGCACTCAAAATGAGTTTGAGTTTGGGGAATGGCAGGGGAAAATTCAAGTTTTAAAAAGAGTAAAATTCCATAATCTAGTGACGTGTTCTGACATTAACATTAGAATTAGAGATGCTCTAACTAAGGACAATCCACTCTCGTTTCCATTTTAGAGGAATTAGGGCATTTACGTCCATTTTATATAAATTTTGAATTAAAAATTATGAATATTATTTCAAGACTTGCGACATATTTTATGCTAATATATACTCCTATTTAATTTCATTTATTCATAATTTCCTTAAATCTTCTATGCTTTCAAAATTGTTGGTACTATTTATGTGATTTCTACACCACACACACATAGGTATAATATCATTGTTTTCACCCATCTAAGTGAAAATATTTTGCATTTCTGTTATTGGAACAAAGAAGTAACTATCCTTTTATTAAAGGTAAGAAAAGAAAAACATCTTAGCTTAAATCATACAACAAACATGCTCCTGTGTGAGATAATTGAGTATGCATGTGAACAAAATCACTTTCCTAAGATAAAAAATTAATGTGAACAAAATCACTTTTCTAAGAGAAAATAAAAAGATTAATCATTCAAACAAGAAAAATAATCAGAAAATTTAGCCACTCAGTCAGTAGTCAGTTTACTGTGCACCATAAGAACTACATATGGATATCACTACTAGAATAAGTCGAATTTGTCGCCAATTTTAGTGAGGAGCCCGCAACCCTTGAAATCTTGCGTCTATTTAGTTTTTACCCGTCACAAACAATTTATATATTTTTAGGTTGGTTTAAGCGACGATAAAATGTTTAAATATTTTCGTACTTTTTTTTTTATAATTTTTAAAAATATAATTGTGAAGAATTTATTCAAATGGAAAATTAATAATGGACTAGTGACGGCTTCGCCGATGAAACTTTACGTCGGCTTACGCGACACTAGTAATTCTTAATTTTTCGATCGGAGACCACAAGAGTCCTGTCCAGCGCGACGATTTTAGCTAGATAACCAGGTTCTACATACCATTCTTTTTCAGTTTATCAATTACGTTAAATGACATTTCTAATTTTTGAAGTGTATTTATATGATTTCATATTGAAGTGTAATAAATCTGTGTTCTTTGTTGAGTCTTGCTACTTTGAATTACCTCTTGGTGATTACATAAATTGATACTTGGAAATATTTTAGTTTAAAGTTATGCCCACCGATTGTTTGATGAAATGCCACACTTAACAAGAAGGTGAGACAACAATATACTTTTGGGTTTTTTTTTAATATCTTTATACTCTGTTCTGTTTTTTTGAACTGGTTCATACTTGAGTCCTTTTTTCTGGTTTTGTTTTGGTTCACCAAGTGTTTGATGAACTGATTTTTTTTTGTATTATGCTCTGTTCTTTATGCGTGAACTGCTTTATACTTGAATTGGTTTATACTTGAACTGATTTTTTTGGTTTTATGCTCTGTTCTTTGGTTCACCAAGTGTTCTGTTTTTTTGAAGCCATTAAACAAATATGTATTCTGTTCTTGAAGCCATTAAACAAATAGGTATTCTGTTCTTTGGTTCACCAAGTGTTCTGTTTTTGAAGCCTTTTTTGGTTTTATGCTCTGTTCTTTGGTTCACCAAGTGTTCTGTTTTTTGACGAGGACTATGATAACAATTCCTCAAGCTCTGAGGATATCAATAACGACGATGACCATGAAATGAGTGGTGAGGAGTCTGATGATGACAGTTATTTTGAGCTGAGCATGAGAGTAATGAGGAGGATCGTGACATCGGTGGCAAAAACCTTAAAGGTGATGAAACTGAAACAATTTCAAGCGAACCTCACCGTAAGCGTGTTCGTGCAATCCCTCGAGAGGAGTGGCCCAAGGATGAATCTGGACGATGGATTCTTCGCTGTGTTGGAAACGGGTACTATATTCTTTAAACATTCATATGTTGTCTCAGAGAATCATTAATATAATGTTCACAATTGAACTTCTTTGTAGGTGGGTTTCATCACAACCGGTAGTAGATGCTTTGAACGATGCAATTATGAGCTCGTATAGGGATGCTTGGCCGAGTTGGACTTTGGTGCCTGAAGATGTTAAGGCCAGATGGTGGGATTTTTTAAAGGTGAGGTTAATACTTTATCTACTTTCATTATGAATCATGATTTTTAAAGCTAGACTCAATGTTTTTGGGTTCTTGCAACCTCTATAATGATTCGTTTACTCCTATTTGTCATTTGTCAACATCATTTGTCGTGTGAATGTTCGATGATGGACCTCTGTCTGTTACTTTTTTATTCTTTCTTGTATGAAGATCTTACAGGTTGCTTTTTTTTTAAACAAAAGTTGTAGTAGTAGCATGTATTTTACATACTCAAAACTTAAACTTCCAACAGCAGGGCTGCAACATAGCTTCATAGCTTCAGGCAGTGACATTGGCATTCATCTTAGCCATTTCTTCAAACAAGTATTTTGGATTCTTCTGCGTAATCACCAGTGCTATCATCACTTCAATGTCACTGCTATCATAGCCAATTCTAACAATTAAACTCTTGTGCAATTAAACTCTTGTTTCATATAGCCAATTCTTTGGCAATTTCAGGATCTGTCTCAACAGTACATTCTGATTTTTATTTGTCTTTCTTCACCAAGTGATGATATATTTTGGATTTAATATTTTTGTGCCGTTTTGCTTTCATAACTGCCATATAAAACATAAATGATCATGAATATGGTGCAATATTCACCTCTTTTTTTACACAATATGGATTACACAAGTACATACTGACTTGGTATTCAACATACAGACCTTTTTGTTTTAAATTTGTCAACATCATTTCGTTATAACATGTTATTAACATGATGTTGTCATCTAAAATGCAGGAGCGATGTACCTGGAATCCCATTCGTGCTGACACCATGAAAAAAATTGGAAACACAAGGGATCAAAGCGTCTTTCTAGTTTGCTTTGCCATGCAAGAGCTGCGAACAAAAGGCCAAATTGGTGTGGAGAGGCTGCTTGAAATGACTTAAAAACGTACTGGTCTACAAAAAAATATAAAATAATATATAATTAGAATTCGAAGAATCGAGGTTCCGCTAAAGGGGGAGCACTCCACACCACTGCGTCTCACACCTCGATGTAATTGAGCAAATGGTATGATTAGCATTAAGAAAATACTTAATTAAATTCTTTTATTCCATATATACTATTCTTTGAGTAACTTTTGAGGCTTATTATGGATGGTTGGGAAATAACCTCTCTTTGTGTGTTTCTTATTATGGTCAAGCATATACTTGACCAGTCATATATATAAGAATTGCAGCAAGTGTGATCTGGAGGCTTAGACAACTGCCAAGTCTGGGAAATAACATCTCTGTGTTTCTTTAATTTAAATAATCATTGCTACGAGTACTTTGTTTCTTTATTTTATATAGTCACTATTCTTTGTTAATCTTTATTTTAAATAGTAAATAGAAACAACGTCCCATGCAAGTGGATGAGGTCTTTCTAATCACTTGCCAGCATAAGGATGGAAGTTGGGTCGATTCACGCTCCACGGAAACATATGTAAGTACTTATTTTTTCAGAATATATTATAACTATTAAACATTCAAGTATATTAACATGTTACATTTCAAAAGAAAATAAAGGAGATTGCTGAAACTGAAGATGGCTCTATAAGTGGCACACGTAATATCAACAACAGTAAAAAATTAGCGGTTTGGCAAGAGACGGTTGGAGGAAAGTGCAAAGGAAAAGTGTATGGGACGGCTCAATTGTTCGTATTACTCTAGGATGGGTCATGAAATTAAAGTATTAGTGATTTTTATGAATTTTGTGACGAATGACATTAAAGTGTTTATTATGTTTATGTTGTATATTTTAAAATATGTTTAAACTCCCATCCCTTTCAATATGAATGTTTTTGTTTATAGGAAATTTTTTATTAAATAAATTGCGTGGGTTAAGCCCTTGCCAATATTCTTTTATATTTGAACTTTAGCAATGAGTTCCTCTCCACATAAACATTGAGACAAATACCTGGGCGTTCCCATGGATGAGGTTTTCATGACATTGGGTTTCAATGTCATGGGATGACCCGGGGGCGTTCCGGTGCCCTTTTCGTAAAATTGACGGTTCATGCCCCCCTAACCCCCCGGTAAATCCCCCCACCCCGCCCCGACCCGAACACACCACCTACCTCTGTCAATTGCACCCCACAAGTTGATTTTCACCGACATAAATCGGTCTCCAAAATTGTGAGAGGATAGCCAACACTAATTACCATGGGCTTGACCGACACTAATTAGTGAGGGTTAAACCAACGAAAAGATGTGAGGAGCAGGCCGGCCAACGCAAACTAGGAACGGTTTGACCGATACTAGGAATTAGCATCGAGCAAATTATTTTCAAAAAATGGGGTTTTGCACGTAAAAACGAAATAAGAAGAGTTTTGATTAACATAGGGAACATATAATTAGGACTAAAACATATGGAGTATTTAATATACCAAAATAGAGTTAATTACTCTTAATGTTTATATACTTAAAAACGAGGAAAAAGACCAAGTATGAGTGACACATTAAAATTATATCAAAATATTACTAAAAAAGTTGGAAAAATTATTTTTGAAGGACTTAGTTGAGGCATAAAAAAGATGAACAAATTTATTTAAACCTCGTTCTATCATATATATCTTCGTTATTCATCTACGCTATTCTTTTTTTAAAAAATCAAGGGCAAATGTGGAAGAAAATTCTTGGGTATGAGGAGTAACTTGCTATATGGATGGATTTCATTGTCTTATACGTACTAGCTAGTAGCTAGTTGCATGTGCATTAATTATATTTTACTTGTAATGACCCATACATGGATCATCCATTAAAAAAGGTTGCATGAATAAATTGGGTAAAATTGCTAAAAGAACAAAAAGGGACCAAAACACTCATTTAGCCATACATGAAAGCATCTTTCCTTCCTTGTACATATGTAGGTAGAAGACACTTCATAATCCTAATTAACATGTTCACACATATTCTCACAAAGCATCTTTGACAAGAACAATTCCAAGTACGTATACGGTGTCTTATACTTGGTTCGAAAATGACATCGATATTTTTGTGAATGAAGTTTGCAAAATTTGACCCAAAAAACAAATTTAATTCTATAGAATTTTTTTGAGATGGATGATATTATTTGGGAAAGGAGCTTGAGCTTCAATTCACTTATTGATTTTTTATCTTATTAATTGTTTCATTAATATTTTTTTATGATGAAGTGTACATACTACACCACGTCGTAGAAATAATTGCCATATTAGAAAATTGTTACCCGGGGAGTAACATGGGGTCCCGGGACCCACCTTGAGTCCTGGGGTCCCGGGACCCCACGGACCCCGGTGTAGGTCCATATAGGTATTTGTTTTGTAAATATGTTTAATATATAAAAGATGCGTACCAGGATGTCAACTAAATGGCGTTTGGTTCAGTGGAAGCGTGCGTAATATCAAATCTCTAGAGCCCCGTGTTCGACTCCCTCCTGGGGTAGTCAGTTTTTTCCCTTACTTTATAAGAAGCATGGAGCTTATAGTTAGTTTTTTCCCTTTTTTTAAAAAAGAGCATGATGTAAAACTTAAAACCTGTAAATCCTATTTTCTATGCAAATTTGACCTCTCTTCTCTATTTCTTTATTTTGAATTTTTAATTTTGAACCCTAATCTTCGTATTTTAGAGTCAGCTTTTTTTTCTTTCAAAAAAAGAGCATGGAGCAAAACGATGTCGTTTTACGCGTAAAAATTAAAACGCGTAACCCATATTTTCTCTACAAATTTGATCTCTCTTCTCCAATTCTCCATTTAGAATCTTTAATTTTGAACCCTAACTTTCATCTTTTAGAGCCAGTTTTTTCTTTTCTAAAAGAAGAGCATGGAGTAAAAAGATGTCGTTTTGCGCGTAAAAATTAAAACGCGTAACCCCTATTTTCTCTACAAATCTGATCTCTCTTCCCCAATTCTCCATTTAGAATCTTTAATTTTGAACCCTAACTTTCATCTTTTAGAGCCAGTTTTTTCTTTTCTAAAAGAAGAGCATGGGGTAAAACGATGTCATTTTGCGCGTAAAAATTAAAACGCGTAACCCATATTTTCCCTGTAAATTTAACCTTTCTTCCTCAATTCTATATTTTGAATTTTTAATTTTGAACCCTAACCTTGGTCGACTCTTCATCTCTCTTTCCCGCCACCGCCACTGCCGCTGCTGCCGCCGCCACTACAGCAGCCAATTCTGTGGCCGCCGCTGCCACCGAAGTGGCTGCCTCATCATGAACATAGAGAATACAAAAAAATTAATAATTTTTCTATATTCATATACAATTAATTGATACTACAAAACAACTCAATAGTATACCTTATGTATGATAAAGATTTTATAATCCTCAAGCGTACAAAAAGAAATCATAGAGCGAAAAGAACAAAAAATTATTAATTATCATGACCTCATATATACATATATATATATATATATATATATATATATATATATATATATATATATATATATATATATATATATATATATATATATATATATATATAT